TAATTGGTCAAAAATGACCATATAGAGCAACTTTCAAGAATATCGGTCTCTGGAATTTTCTTAAAAGATTTATATGATTTACATTGAATAAGTTTTAATCTTTCAGAATGTGATTATCTTTCCATCAAGATTAATCATGAGCAGTTTTCTTAACGTTCTAAAAGCACAAGACAGTTAACTTTGAAAGCAAATTAAACTGCCCATCTTCATAATCGATCAAGAATGTTTTCATATAAACAATTTGGCTCTATATTGGCATTAACAAAAATCGGAAAAGACCAAAACTGAACTTACAAAACAGTTGAATGCCATCAGGAGAGTGAATATCTTCGTTGAAATATCATTTTTAACCTTCTAAACTTCAACAAAGAGAGAGTCCATTTATGAAATTGTACCGGCTGTGGCAAATTTCAGATACAAATTTACATACTCAAACATACGCCGTATAATATATAAAAATTTTCTAAAATGCTCGAAAAGGTTATATGCATTGATTAAAATATTTGTTCTAATTGTTTTCAGTATAGATTTTATTTTTTCTTGATATAAAGTAGATTTTTTATCGTGGCACAGTTTAGAAATAATCTGCTTACTCATTGACATTTACGATTTCGAGTTATTTCTCTACTAGTTTTAGGCATTCTTTATACTATGTTTACATCTTCTTCTTCGCCTATATAAAATTTGTAATAATTGCTACTTTGAAAACGTATCATAAATATTGTCAAAAAATCTAATTTCATTTATGTTCGTGAAAAATGAAATTAATAAAATACCATTGTAAATTTTTGACAAGTTTGTTTTTATTATGCCAAATGAATTCATATTAGTATCACTAAAATTATCGAATAGTAGAATTATATACTGTCCTTTACACAATATGCCCAATCTTATTATTCTATAAAATATTCTTATATGACGTGTAGAATTGTAAAGAAATTTTTTTAAAATAAGATCTATTTTGATCCATTTCTGACAGAATATAATCTTATCTGAATTATGATATATCAACACAAAATCCATGAAATAATTCGTAAGTGAGGTTACAAGAATTTCTTGTAGTAAACTTCATATTCTCTTTCATAAAGTCTGAACTAAAAGGGTAAAACGCGAACATTAACTTTTCAGTGATTGTTCTAAAAAATTTCTACGAATGTCCCGCTTTTGCACAATTTAGTCGGACAGGAATATATTCAATATTAAAGGGTTTATCATTTAACAGTCTGTCTGTAACATAAAATTATTCAATAAAAAAGTATCATATTTGTTTATATTCCATAGGTTTCTATGCATAAAACTGTTCGAAACAGCAGTTGAAATAATTCCAATATTCGTACAAACAAATCAGCGTTTTGTAAAAGTCAAAACTAATTTTTCATTGAAATATAAATTTTTATATTTCAATGATTGAAGAGAAAAATTTGTTTTCTAACTATTGAGATTATTCAATATTTATTGAATTTGTCTTCTAATCATGTCTTGTGGGAGAAAATAGAAGAAGGAGACCTTTGCAACGCTAAATCTATTTAATAAATTTCGTTTACAACCAAAATTCAGATTCTGCAAAGTGAATTTGAGAGAAAGAAAAAAAATTTTTTTCTCACACGAGAATTGAAAAATCTCTAATCTTGTAGAATTTGGTTTATGAAACATTTTCTAGAGCGAAATCAGATTGAAATATTATTGCAGTTTCATATAAATTTTGTTTTATTGACTCCAGCAGATTTTGCTCAAATGATGCATTTACTCCACTTACGACAGCACGATCACACATTCATGCAATCCGGGTTAAATTTATAATGCTGATGGACATCTCTGAACTATCATCACTATTATGTTCTACAATCAGCTTTTAAAAAATTGATGTTACAGACTGATAGAGAAGAGATTTGTCTACATAGTTTGTGAAGAAACATTTTAAAATATTGAAAAATAGAACAGATACAAAACTTTGAAAACAACACGATTATTTTTTATCAGACGTTTACATCATCTTATTAGAATTTTTATTGCGTAAGAAAAAGTTGATCACACGTTAATCATACGGAAAAATCTATCCGATTATTTAAAGACTGCATGCCTTGAAAAAAAACTAAAATAATATTTATGCTTTGCTATTAGTCGTCTGAACAAGGTGATTGACTATCCAAATTGAAAACATAATAAAAAACGAATAAAAAACCAAGGAGGATCGATTTCGCTAAATAATCAAGTATGCGTATTATATGAGAAACCTTCAGTTATTATCATGAAAATCAATAGTCCTTTATTTTGTGCCTTGATCATGATTCTAACCATTGTTTTTTTTGTCATTTTTGTATTGTATGTTATCTCGACGGAGAGAGAGAAAGAGAGAATTAATATCATTTTTGGTCGGTATATGCGTTTATGTGGTGAGTTATCACAAGAAAAAAGGTGTAATTAAGTAGATATTTACGGTGATCGGTAGTTATATGATGATAATAAGCAAACATTGTCAACAAAATACAAGAAGAGAACGAAAGAGAAAAAAGATTTCAGCCATAAATATTTAGAAAAAAAATTCTGCCGGATACGCTTAAGTGAGTCGAGGGACTATCGTTGTTATGTTACTCTTGCCTGTGTATAAAAGCAAGCAGAAATATTGTAAATAATTACATTCATCGACTAGATAGAACTGGTGATTATTTATAACCATGAATTTCGGTGCTGCTCGTGCAACCTTCAATCAACGTGACGTTAATCGTGATGGTTATATTGATGGAGGCGAATTAAATCAATGGGGTGGTGGTGCTGCTGGCATAGTTAACTATCAATCATCAGCATACAATAGTTCCGGATATGGTGTAGATACTGGTTTAATTGACAGCGGCTTATCAAGTTATGAATCGTCGGCAGGTTATGGTGCTGGTAGTGGTTATGCTGCACAAACATATCCAACGGATGCTCAAGGTCTTTATCAAGATCCAAATCCTCTAATCATCCGTCGTCCAATGCCAGTTGATGTACAACCTTACAAACAAAAAGTCATAATTCGATATCTTCAACCACCACCTATTCCACCACCAGGCGTAAGTTATTTCTTCTTAATAGCTTTTTTTTATTACTTAAAAAATTGTATTTTCTAGCCACTCATCATCAAAGAAGTGCGTCCACCTCAACCACCTGCTCCACCTCCACTTATCATCCGTCAACAAGCTCCTCCTCTTCCTACACCTTCTCCACTCGTTCTTCGTCAACGTCCACCAAATCCACCACCTGCGTTCCCTGCTCAAAATTTTATTCGTCGTTAGCCAGGTATACCTCTTCTATCGTAATCAGTTATCATCGAACATATATCACCTCTTCCATCTCGTCCTCGTGTGTAGTACTTTTTTCTCTTTTCAGACGCTATATTCAATACTCTTATCTTTTAGTAACTCATTTGTTTTAAACATTAGAAATGAAACATTAAATTTATCCTTTGTTTCTGTTTTCATGTATGAGATATTATTCAATGTATCAACACTTTTTATTAAAATAACAACCGATTGAAGTTTTTGAATTGTTCTATTTCATAGTGAGAGAATATCTATGTGTTTTTAATCAAAATTAAAAATATTGGTTACGCAAAAGTTTATTAAACGATCTTTTAAAAATGCTTGGTCTTCTTTAATGACGTTCCAAAAGTGATGGAGGTATCTCAAAGTGGATATAACTGACATTCGTGTTCGATGAAGACGTCATATTTATAGGTCACTATATTAAGAACATAAAAACACTTACAGTTGACTCACATATGAACATTTACAGCAACTTCATTCTAGCTGTAGAAGACCGTTTATCGGCATCGTCATCATGACTTGAGCTACAGTAAATATTAAATGTAAACAGTCTTTAATTGATTGTTTCAGACTACATAAAATGATTCTATCGAAACATTTAATATCTCTTATCTTATGTTGTTATTTTCTGTGGTCAACGGTCTGATCAATGCTGATAATAATAAACAACTATCATTCGCCATCACATCAGTACTCATATTGAAGATTTATCTTGATTGTTCGCTATAAAATGAGAAGAAGTCTTATTATAAGGTAGACAACTCCAATATCTTTTCTAACGCAAAGAGAAGAAGTATTAGTGAGAAAAACCATTTGCAAAGGTTTACTTAACTCAACTTTGCTATCACTTTGACGTATTCGTCCTTTTTCTTCCAGTACCCAAACAGATCTTTTAACATCACCTAAATTCAACCATGTTTCATCATGGTGATAAATATGAGTATGAGCACTTCTCAATTCATTCAAAGTTCGAAAATAACGAATTTGAGCAGCAATGAATGAGCTGGACTCGAGTGGAACATTAACTTTACTTGTTTGTTGAAAGATAAACCCGAGCTAGATTTCAAAAACAAAACACTTTTTTAAGTTTTAAAGTCTCATAAATAATTTGGCAATCACTTTTTTCATCTCGAATTACAATCTGGAAATAGAATGAAAGGAAAAATCATCGAAGTCTTGGTGAAGACGAGTAAGTAGTCTTGCCGTTGTTCGATATATTTTTTCTTTCAAAAGCAAATGAAAATGGTATTCAATCGTGTCTTGTGCATATTCCGACAGAATAAGTTTTAGAAGACCAGAGTGATCTGACGAACAAAATACAACTATCATTTCAGTTCACTCAAATACTGTTAGCGTTGATGATGATATACTCCGGCGCTAAACAAAGATTATAATGTCCCTTCAAGTCTAACTGGTATAGAACATCTGTTCGGATAGCAGAAAGTATTTGGTTCGAATCATGTAAAGGGTCATCTTTTTCTTCGTTCTGTCACATAATATCAGTGAGACTGCTGACTCATCCGCTCTATACATATTAGAGCCCACAATTGGTGAAGAAGTTGGGCAGAATTAGCCTGCCTATTTTTTTTTTTGTAAATTTTTTCCCCCTTATTTTCTGCTTTTTTTCTTTTTCCTTTTATTATATTTTTACTTCTTTATTATTATGCACATAATTTCTACCCTACCAACATTTCAAAAATGAACAACGATAATCGACACTCGTTTATTCCTGATTCAACATTACTTAATTCATTAGATTTATGTACAACTTCTACATCATCATTCTTAACATCAACAAAAGATCAAAAGTCAACATTAATTAATTTATTAAATAATAATCGAAGAAAAACGATCATATCTTCACCTCATCGACTAACAATTGTATCAAAAATCAGTTTCTCATAAAAATCCTGATGATGAATTAACAACAAACACAATTGTAGATCAAACTAAATTTGAATCTACTAAAACTGCAAACAAGTCATCTAAGGATATTAAACAAGATGAAATTATTGACTGTAATAATCATCAATTACAAACACAAGAAAATGAAGAAAATAGAACATAATTTTGACACATTCATTTTAAAACATTTTGCTCCATTTTTGGCAATCAATTAGTTAATCAATCGTTCGGAAAACCGAAAGTAAATTTAATCAATTCAAAATTCCTCGACACTTACGTTTTGAATCAATCTCACTTCTTGTCGAAGGTGATGCAAATTAACGTTTGCATATTAAAAATCGTAAAGAGATTAATATTTTTAATGATTTTTACGAATTTTTATTATTACATTTCGATACAAAATGATTCCAATTCATCTCAAGTGAAATCTTATCCAATATCTGTTATTAATTCATCTAATCAACCAACATTAACTCAATCTGCATTACCTATTGATCCTAAAGAAACATGAACAGATATTTCCTGCATCACAAAATTTAATCGTCAACTACTTACACATCGTTTTGCAGCTATTCTTGATTTTGGTGCCACCAATATTATTGGTGAAGCACTAGACTGTAAATCAACAAATGTTACTACAGATTCTTCCACGATTGTACTCGATCAAACTACTAATAATCTTTGAAAGGCAATCGTAGGAGATTTGATTAAAAATCCTAAAGTATTTAAAGGTGATAAAGATAATGTAAGTAAATGGATCGAAGATACTGAACGTCTGTTAGATATTTCACACATTTTCAATTCTAGTCGATTAGATTTAATCTGCTATTCATTACGAGAAGATGCTCTTCAATGATATAAAAACAACAAAGATGCCTTTACTTCATGAAAAATTTTTATACATGAGCTTAAACGAGCATTTACTTTTTCATTCCATGAAGAATTATTATTTTAGAAATTAGAAGTGTATACACAAGGTGAAAATCAATCTGTTCTAAATTTTTCTAATGAAGTATTGAAGCTTTGTGATGAAGCTGATTTTACAATGAGTGAAGCTACAAAATTGAAAAATCTTCTAAATAAAACTAAACCGACTATCCAACTCGAAGTTCGAAAGAAACAACCAATATTAACTACCGAATTTCTTGAATATGCTAAAGAAAGGGAAGAATTATTTCAATTATCAAACATTAATATTGATAATAATACCAATAATAACCATCAACCAGCAAAAACCGAACATTTTTCTTCGTTAACTACTACACCTTCATCAACTAATCGATATCCAGCAAATAATTTTTCAAATAAATATCCATCTGGATATGCCAGAAACTTCAGTTATAATCCAAATACCTTTAATAATCGTAATATTCGTTCATAATAATTCTCAGACATTAACATTTATATCATCATCCTTTCGTTTACCTCAATCTTCTGAAAATTAATCAAGAATTGCAAATCGACAACTTATACCAAACAGAAATAGTTCTTCGTTTAATACTAATTACAATGTTCGATTTCGATCTCATCCAAATCAAATAAATTCTCCAAATTTTAATCTGTCACGTCTACACATTGCAAATACAATTTTCACATCTGATTCATCAAATAATACTTAACCAGAACAAGATTGTTCTTCATCTATTCTTTGTACACAATGTAATCAGTATGACCATAAAGAGACTTCATGCCAAAACTTTTAATTACGGAATCACCGAATAATGGTGGTGATTCCGACAAAACTAATACAAACCGATCTAAATCCTCATTAATTTATATTAACACATTCGTCAATAAATATAAAATGAAAACTTTAATCGATACAGGCGCTACAATAACTTTCATCAATGAAAAAGCTTCATGACATTTGACACATTCTCAATACATTCATAAAACTTCCTATTCTTTTACATTGGCAGGCGGAGTTGCACTTTTCACATTCTTGGATTAATCGAATTATCAGTTCAATTTGCTAATTCAATCACAAAAATTCAAGTTCATATTGCTCGTAAATTATATGCAGATATGATTATTGGTATGGATTACATCAATCTATATAATTTGAATATTAATATTGAACAACAAACTGTTTCTATTGAAAATAATAATCGTATATTCACTAAGAATATCGATAAAGATTATGAATTACGTCAAATTCCAGTTACAACATCTCAATCGATATTTATTTCCCCTTATTCAAATCGTTCAACATGAGTATCAATTCCTATCTCGTCAATCAATTCTTCATTTGTTTCAACTTATCATTTCCAGAATCAAACTTCCTTAATTACAACGTATACATTTTTAAAGTTTCAGAACTATTGTTCTAACATTAAATTTTTTAATAATTCATTACATCCTCTATTTTTAAATAAATGCATATGTATTGGATTTTTATTTTGTCGTTCTATAACTCGATCTTCTCTAATATCCCTTACTTTTTTACATGGATCATTTGAAGTCTCCGGATCTTCCGGTAAGATATCAGCCTTAAATGATTTATTTGCAGATCAATTCCTGGATGAAAGATCATCCATTCTTAATAATTTCTTTTAACGAAATCGTAATAAGTTTAATAGTAGCGATATACGCTCTTTTTGTAATACGATTCAATCGCTAAATCTGATCGTTAAAAAACACTTAACTACATTAGTTAGTAAGATTGAGAATAAGCAGCAACAAGATCATATATATTCGTTATTAGTTCGTTTTCATCGTATTTTTGATGTAACTAAGCATAGCATTAGTCATACTTCGGATTTGTGTGGATGTGGATGTGGGTATGAGACTAAGGGGAAGAGAATATCCAAAACCACACCCACCCGCGCCACAGACTATGATAGACACTTGAGTGAAGATTATTTTTTACCATCACAGACCGTGACAATTAAAATAATTTACTGAAAGGAAGAAGTTACCCCTTGTGATCTTTCGATTCATTCACTGTATACTCGTCTACTGAAGCGAAGTGCTGAGTTACGTCTGCGCTTGCAGCAAACATTCTAGCAGCAGTGACAACTCTTACTAAAAGATCTCCAGATTCAGTCTCAAACTCGACGTCCTTTCGAGAGCTCTCGAGACTCAATAATTCGAATACTTAGAAATTTAGAGTCTCCTTTCTGCTTGGGTGAGATTTTTCAGATCCGTCAAGATGAACAGTTGCATCGTGTTTTACATTATAATCACGTAGAGATTGCGCTAACAGTTTTTTTTTTAAAGAAAATTCGAATTTACATCGAAACAATGTTTCTCATATTTAGGATGGGTTTTTATTTGATTAACATTTGATTATGATATGCGTATATATATATATATTATATATTATATATGACAAGACCTGGTAAAAGGTAATTAAAAAACTGAACGTTGAATTATTTGTTCAACATGAATAAACTCAAACTTCACTAAATTTTTGCTACTTCTTTGAGACAAAAGACCGGATACATGATGAACAAATTTCAATTCGTATTTGGATATGATGGAACATTTTGCTTTGACTGAAAATGAGTCACATCTATCAATAAACAGTATTACATACTGTATTGATTATTATCATCACGAAGAATTGATCAAATGACATTTCCAAATTCATTTTAATGACAAAATCCATGTCTTCTTCTTCTCTTTATTTTTCTCTGCCAAATAAGTTTTATTTTCTATGCGACATGGTTATAATTGAACATACACAAGAATCCAATAGCATCATACTCGAAAGTGTCAGTAACGCTATTCTACCAGTTTTTTATTATTTGAACAAACATCAAATAAATAATTGCTGTGTGGAAGATAATCATATTTGTTATTACAACATTGACAATTTTTTGTGTCATAACTTAGTTGATACAGGAAGTATCTTGCATCTAATTTACCAATTATTATTCTACCATACTCATATAGTGTGCTTTTGCAGAGCAAATTATCTTGGCTGGATATCGACTACTAATCGTAATTCTCATTTAATATCTCCATATAATAACATGTTTTCTCCTACATCTTTTCTACTTCATTGTTGCCATAATGTTGTTCGATCTATCATGTTTTCACGTATAGCCGATATAGTTGGTGAATGACATCTAGGTCTAATTCAAGCTTCTTATTTCAATTTTCATTTTCGTGAACGTTTATCATCGATAAAACTAGTCAATTTATTCGAATCAATGTTCAAGACCTACAAAAAACATTAATTTTCATTTTTAAAGCGAAGGCATATGCAATAATGTCGACCTATGCTGGTTGGAAGACTACAAGATGACTTCGAATGCTTTGTTTCGTGATAGCCCTCAACGGATAAGTATGAACTGAAAAGAGTAGTCGAATGAACGAATCAGACAACATTAATTTATGCCCTTAACGCTACTAGAAACAGAGAGATACGAACAAACAACAATTGATATAAGTAAACTCAGGTGATAGATATAGGATCAGTGATTCATATTTCTAGTGAAGTGGCTTGCTTGCACCGCTGCAATCACATTGCTTGATGACCTATAGTGACACAACTTCCTGATCCATCAGTCAGCTCAGGAAGAAGACCAAGACACGCCCATGGAAGAAAAAGACATACAACGTACATGAGATCAATAAAATAGTTCATTTGAATCTGGGAGAGAAAACTCAGATTACCGAATATCTGTACCGTTCCTACAAAAAGACATGGCGTCCAGGAGATAATGTAAAGGTCCGAGATGCAAAACAATTGCAATGTCATGGGTCGCTGATACCGCCACGTCACCAACGATTGATGATGTCGTTTCTATCTGACTACTCTCACAATGAGAACCGCATTAGCTAAAACGTCGATGATCATAGGCATGCCGTTGTTGAACATCCAATCAAACGTACCGAATACTGGGTTGAACAAAAAATAGCAATTGGCCAGGCCACACAAAGTGCTGGTGAAGTCCCATTCAGTGCCGTCGCATGGGTAGAGGATAATGACAAATATATAAAATATCATGGGATACGTAAGACAGAGAAGAAGTGGTAAATGATGTAATGTATTGCGCATCCAACGGATGCGGAGGACATGTGCGTTAAAAATGAGCATGTGTCGCTGAATTGAAATGATGGCAATTAGATATTCGCTTGTTACATCTATTGTGTACTCAAAGAAGGTCCACCACGTACAGTAAGTCGGCGTAGCTGGACTTACGTAACCAAGGTGAAGAAAGTGGAGAGAGTGTGGCATCACAAATGCTACCTCAATGAAGTTTATTACGAGCAGAATCAGTAGGTCACGGTTATGTGGAGCATGTCGGACAGCTTTATGCTTGGGAAAGAAGATAAAGATGAGAAGAGACAATGCAATCGTTGGAATTTGTAGCAGAAGGAGCAGCCAATATTTCACTGAACGGAGTAAGAATGTATCGTCTTCAAACGTTTCCATGTTGCTGTTGTTCATCGCTGTGATAGATTAATATAAAGTGAGCGAGCTGGGTTGATAATTATAAAGCACTTGATATGCATCATCATCATCACCATCATTTTCTCTCTTTTCTACTTTGTGCTAAGTAGAATATCATTTTCTCTATTTCTGTTGGTAAGAAACCTTGTGATATGCATTTCTTTTTATAATCATCACTCGGTTATAAAATATCGACCAACCGGAAAGGAATCTGAGTGAAGATGCCAACAAAGGCATTGCCCGACCACAATACCTATCATTTAGACGAGTTCGTACATCGCTGTTATATCTTAATTAAAAAAATAGACTGACCTATTTTCTCTTGAAAAGAAGACAAATTCAATTTGGTAATCTCAACTTTTCTTATCAACAATCGATCAATTCAAAATAATCTGAAGTATAGATAAGGTGCTTTAGTATCAGTAATAAATTATAAGAAAATACAGAGCAAATTCCCTAACGCGTTTCGTGTTTATTTATTAAAATATTAAAATACTCATCAAGGCTCTGCATTATAGCTTTAAGTAATAAAGGAAAAAAATGGATAAAGAGAATAGTGTAGATGTTTCACAATTAATCTCATATAAATAAAGAAAGAGAAAACACCCAACAAGTACTGCTCATCCTATGGATTCGCTGACTCTTTTCTGAACGAAATACTGCACTATTACTTTTAAGTAAACTTTGAGTAAGATCATATTAGATAATTCTACTCTTGATTTCTTAGATAAAGATAAGAATAGAAAATTCTTTGAAAACGCGCTCAGTCTCAGTTTATTAAGCAGAGAGTTTGCTTAAAGAACATACAATTTTACAAACACAATCACTTAGTATTATTCTGGCGATATTATAGCAGCGGCCATTGTGTAGTGTCTCTTACAAATCAATCTACAATTTGTTTCTTGGGATCTTTACTGAAGCAAGTTTTCGTGGCTAATTAGAGTCGAAGGGCTAGTTATTCCATGCATTAAACCTCATTGAGCAGGCGATAATTGACTTTCTTATCATTCAGCTCTTTCATTTTTTCGCATATTTTTCGAAAAGCTAGTCGAGTTGTCATAGAATGTGTCCATTGAGTTGAATTTTTTAAAAATCACTTAATGATCTTCCTTTGTGAAGTTCACGCTCTGGAAAAGCTCGCACATTTTTCAATATGCTGGGTGTGGGTGGGCGAGACTAAGCGGAAGAGAACGCCCAAAACCACACCCTATTCTTATTTATTGTTATTCCTTCGTTATTTTGTTTTCGTATATCGTTTCTCGTAGTTTAACATTGATATTATTAAAATCATTTAATTAAATATCAAACCAACCGATGATACTTATTCATTATCTCTAAAGTAGCAGGTTAAACATATTACTATAGATCTCAATAGTGGGTGTAGGTGTGGGATGTAGGTGTGGGTGGGGATGGAAATGTGGGTATGAGTGGGGTTGTGGGTGATGTGGGTCTGGATGGGTGAGTACTGGTTTGTGTATGTGCATGCCTGTGGATGAAGAGAAGACTAGAAGTCACATCGACAGCCACCAATCCACAGCCGTACCCACACCACCCATACACCACGCCCACACCCACACCCACACCCACACCCACACCCACTATTGAGATCTATAGTAATATGTTTAACCTGCTACTTTAGAGATAATGAATAAGTATCATCGGTTGGTTTGATATTTAATTAAATGATTTTAATAATATCAATGTTAAACTACGAGAAACGATATACGAAAACAAAATAACGAAGGAATAACNCAAAATGCGACAAATCGCACATAATCTGAAAGAGGACACTTTGGGCTCTCAGTATATGTGCTTATCTCAAAATCGATTTTTGTGAAAAAAATCGATTTTCTGAGGGAGGGGAGCCCCTTAATTAGGGTGACATCTGTTTGAGAATTTTGCGAAAAAAATGATTGATTTTAATAAATTTCTTCAAGCAAAAACTTTCAAACGGGTATGATTAAAAAGACTTGAAGTACCTTGCTAGTGCTTGTAAAATTCTACAACGTAAGCAATCTTAATAATAAATATTACACATGAATGTATTGCATTTCGAATGTTTCGTTTCAAGAGAATAAATAGATAAATATTTGCACAAGAATTATTCAAGGAAATATGACTCTCGTTGCTTGTGGTTATATTTGATCATTATTCTGCTGCTTATAGAAAGGTTTATCTTTCGTATCTAACATAATTCACTTGTTGGTGTTACTGAAAAATCATTACTGTATTCAGTAACAAAAGTAAAATATTTTAACTCGAAGGTGAAGATACTCGAAAGATGAAAAAAGAACATGGAAATAGATAAATCAATAGCAGACGAGAAAATATTCATCAATATCATATTTGCTAATAGTATAGCATTGTCAAAAGTCAATCTTAGTATCGATGAATTCAATGTGAAACTTGTACTAATTATACATATGATTATTTATTTACTATTGTCACCCTATAGAAATATTTTTCCTTCAAGAACGAAAAGATTAACACTTGTTAAAGAAAATTATTTAGAATCGATCTGATCCAAAGCGAATGAATGATGATGTTTATGTAGAAGATAATTATTGTAGTGCATTTCGTCGTATTGCCTATACTTGGATATATAAGATGCATCTTTCTTCATATTTCATCTCTAGATATGGTACAGCAATGTTGATTTATTTTTCTGTTGCCCGAAACTGCGGTCTTGAAATCACTATTGCACGTGTACAAGACTCACAATGTTTGAATCGAGAAACGATTGATGCTTTTTGTGAAAAACTATTCAAGTAGAAGAATGTTCTAATTTATTGATAATAATTGTTTAAATTCATCAATGGTCTTGCTTTTAGTGTTGATTTGCTTGTAGTGGCATTCCGTGATAGAAGTTATATTTCAGGACTGAATAGAATCACATATGCTAGTGGTAGTTCGATACAAAATGTCAATGAACAAAAAGCAGAAGAATGGTATTTCCATTCGTTTAATAATATTTGAAATTATATGGAATTTTAAGTTCATATCAAAGATCAATCATCCACATATGGGACATTAATGAAAAAAATTCCATCATGTTGATATCTTTATTGAAGCAGATACAAGCTTCTGAGAAATAGAAACGAAATGATTGTCAATTGAAAACTTGTTAAAATGACTTCAAAATGAACCATAAAAAATCTTGACATATGTTCTGAGAATGACATTTCCTTTGATTGACATCATGTACTATCAGAATTTAAATATCGAAGACTAACTACATTTCAACGTATGAGTAATTTACTAACTTCCTCAGGAAATGAAAGTATAGTTTTTGAGTAAAAAACGATTCTAAATGTTAGAAAACAACCAGTTCGCAATAGAAAGCCACCTATGGAGAAACAATATAAATTTCTATAATAGAAGAAAGAGATGGAGCCGATCATAAAAAAATCAGGCTAACTGCGTCTCTGATAGAATGCCGCGACCTTCTATTATGGGTGACTTCATTTAATCAAACAAGGATTAAATTATATAATAAAGAGAAATATATTCAATGGATTCAACAGAATCATTCTTATGTGTCATCTATTGTCATTGATGTAAAACGTTTTCAAAATCTTCACTTCTTATTTAAGTCTCAGTAGGCATCAAACAAAACCGATCAACTCACTCTTTGTATATTAAACACTAAGCTAATATAAGAGCTAATAAACCCATGAGTATCATGTATCACTAATCTTAGCTCCATTGTTTTGTTATTATCAACTTCTCATTCAACATACAGAAATAAATCGGTATATTTATCGTTTTACCTTTATTCTTCTCACTGGTAGATTAATGAGATAAAGAATAATCACTACGATCAATCTATATTTTATTAACATCTTCAAGGTTGAATTTCATATTTTTATCCAAACACTCAAGAATCAATTATTCTTTACTGTTGAGAAAAAAAAGTTAAATTCCCAGATCTCTTCATACCTCTACGGATAAATGATGATCATCTTGATTCATTTCGAGTGTCTTGCTTGATTTCTTGATTGATTATGTTGTACATTACGTTTATTTTTCTCATTGTATCGATTCACACATATCTGATATTACTTTACAATCGAAAAATATCCGTCCAAAAATGTTCAATAGAATTATATTGAAAGAACGACAAAATGTAGCTGTCGTCTAATATGAGTCCATCAATTAGTCGCCTGCAGTGTTATTATTTAACCAATTAGCGTATCAAATGGACTTGTCATATTGAATACGTTGCTGTTTTTCTTCTCTTCGTCTTCTCTGAATCTATCAATTGATTTTATCCAATAAAATAGATATTTCTTTCATCATTGAAAATTGATTGGATGAAGAAAGCATTTTCATCGACTTCAAATAGGTATCTATTCTAATGCAATAACTTCATTCGAATATTCAAAACATGGAAGACGAACGTACTAGTCGACCATCAAGTGTTATATCTAGTTACGAAGAAACAGTTTCTATATCATCAAATTTATGTGAACCAACATTCAAGTAATATTTCTCTTTCTTTTTGTTGATATTTTAAAATCTAATATGAAATTTGTTTAGTTCATTCTGGTTTATTTATTCATCCATACTAAATTCAATTCGTCCTACAACACCCATAGTTCGACACAATTTTAAAAGTATCGATGAACTTCTTTCTCCTATATCTGTTCCTTTAAAGAAAAACGGTAAGACAAAGTTTGTTTTCTATGATTCACGAATGAACCCATCTGACTGATACACTCTGTTCGAGCTTATGGGTAGAACTTATAGCCTAGATAAAAACCCTGCAAGGATTCATACCACGTGATATTTCTTCTCGAGTTATGGCCATTTTACTGGGCATTCAACATATCGCAGGATATTACGAAAAAACTCACAAACAAAGAGTTTCACCCTGAATTGTTTTCAACCATAGCTATAATAGTGTGGGTCTGAGTATTTTGTTGACCATATCTACACTCATACTCGTACTAACCCACACTCACACCCTTCAGCAGAGATTATCAGCCAGATGGATTCTCTTGTCAGATGAATTTATTAACAAATTTCAATCAATCATTGTATATTCAACAAATTAATAATTCATTTTTGTAGATGATACTGGATACAATTCACAATTATCTAGTTCATTACAAAGTCAAGAGAACGATGATAGTAATGATGATGATGAAGATAATATTGAAAATTTAAAACCAATAACATCATCAACACCATTTATTAAAAAGAATAATAAAACAAAGAAAATTCGTACAGCATTTACAGATAATCAAAAACAATATCTTGATCGTTTTTATTCATCAAATCGTTATCCAGATCCAACTGAAATGGAAACATTATCACGTTTATTATTACTTAATGAAAAAGTTATTCGTGTTTGGTTTCAAAATAAACGATCACGAGAAAAACATTATCCACGAAATAATTCAAATTCAACCATAGTTAAAAGTATGTGATAACAATATTCATCATCAACGAATTATCTTCATTGAAACAACAAAATCAACTTTTTTTTTTTTTTTTTTTTATTTCATATTGGCAGTATATTATTGTTCTTCTTGTATATAATAAATAGTTTGATATTCTAAAAATTATTGTGATCATAAAACTTTAATAAGAGTTGATTTTTTTCCGTAGTTCAGCAATAAGTATTTTGCCAACAGTACTCGGAAATTTCTGAAAGTTTTTATGAATTAATTCGAGCTTTTGTTTATTTATTTCATCAATTTATTTATTTTATCTAAGAGCATAACAACTCAAAATGAGTGAATAATGCTTAAAATAGTTATTTGTTCCACTCATCAATTTATTTGAAACGAAAAACAAAGTAGAACAAAAAATAACAATGTTCATATATGAACAGATGTTTAATTTTTTATTTTTATACTCTCGGTGCTCCATGTGCATCTGGCATACGTTCAATAGTGTAACGATGACCATGTAAATACATAATTGGTACACCAGGAATTTTTCTTATACGTCGTTTTAATTCACGATCACATGTTGCCACAATATAACATTTATGTTGTGTAACACGTTGTACAATACAATCATCAGCATATGTACCTTTATGTGAACATGGTAAACGTTCAAAACGTGGATCTTTTGCAATACGTAATGCTACACGATATTTTGTACCTAATTTTTCAATTTCACCCATTACACAATCTGTTATATATGGAGTACATTTCGCATAAAGACAATCCATCATAGATTGAATGATATCTAATTTAACTTTGATGGAAAAATTAATAAAATTTGTATCGACTAATATGTGATATGGAGGACCTAAATAAATAATAGGATATTTTAGTTTTGATGAAAATTAAAATGCTTGTCAGTGCAACGTGTTTTGCATTTTCGAATTCTGTTTTTCTTAATTTAATATTACTATTATTGTAAGTATTGGTTTAACTGACAAATAAGCCTGTTATGTAAGGTAGTGTTCAAAGCTCATATTCATAAGAGACACGTTATGAAAAACCGTTTTGAAATATTTACAACTGATTTTAACAAAGAACTGTAAATGAAAAAAAAACAGTATATTTATTTCCCTATCATGAAAACATATCCATTATATCTACATCAGGTCTCAACACACTATTGTGTATCTTAATAAACTCAAAAGTACTGGTATTGATTATTTCCCAAAGTTATAACTTGATTAGTTCACACTTTTTATGTTGATCATATGACGATTGTGACAAACCAATGCATGACTACCTATCATCCTTGACATTTTGAATATAAATTTTTACCTATGTAAAAATAAAAGACTTCACTATTTTGAAAACTCATACACGTATTTCAGTCATTCAAATTTCGAGGTTAAGCTTTGAAATGTTCTAGAACAGTCTGAGTCAAGCTGTTAATGCTGTTCAGTGCATTTTTTTCGTTGCTAAGGAACTCTTGGTAAGGAGTTGACGTCTGTTGTTCTTAGTAGCAAGGAAAACGTACTTATCCAGGTCTTTGATTCTGGTACCTTAACTTCTGCTATAAAATTCCTGCGAGTTTTCTGATCGGAAACGACCCGTATGTTTTGATTTCAGAAATGATTGCCAGTCCCTTTTTGGGTTTGGTGAAACCAAAAAAAAAGTTCTGAGTTTATATCTGTGCGAAGAACCTTTTTAGATTTCGTAACAGAAATTTCTTTTTTAAAGTGTATGTGGGTTTAGTTGCAAAACTTCGATTTAAAACTTACGCTAATTTGAGTTTTATGAAAAAAGAACATACCGAGTTGTGTATTATATCTGAAGAACAGTGCTGATGTAACTGGTGCAACTTGTTTTTCAGTAATTTCACCAATGTGTTTCTTTTCTTGTTTTTTATCATGATTTTTTGGTTTCATACGATCTTTTGCTTTGAGTCTTGCATCAGTTAATTTAATCATTCGTTTCATTTCGGCAAAACGTTTTTGACCTTTTGGACGAGTCATTATGATAAAAAACTAAAGTAATCTAAAAAAAAGTGATATTCATTTAGACACATGCTAATGATTTTATAGCACAAAAAGGAAACAAGGAAGCCAACGGACCATAGGTATATTCTCAAAAAGTTGTCAAATTACTGTATTTTTTTATATTTTCTCATCGGCAACATATGTTAATAGAATATCGCCTTTTTTAACCACTTTTCCCAGTGTTGCATTCACTTTTGCGATAGTACCATTTTTACTTGCTTTGATAACATGTTCCATTTTCATTGCAGTCATTATTACTAATGGTTGTCCTTGTATAACATGTGCACCTTCTTGTACAAGTATTTTATCAATAAGACCTGGCATTGGCGCAACTGGATTACCAGATGTAGCTGATGTACCAACAGCACCACCTATACCCAATTCAGCGAGTTGAGCAAGAAATGATGGTTGTGGTAATTTAAAGTCAAATGAACAACGACTAACATTCGAATAGAATGTACATGTATCACCATCAATATGAATACGACATCGAAATTGATGACCATCAATAAGAAGAATAAGTTCATCTGTTGATGAACGAATTTCAACAGGATATGTTGTATTTTCATAAGTAACAAGTATTTTCGAATTATTAATACGTTCTATTTGAAATTGATAATCTAAAAAAATAAAGTCTCTTTTTTTTTGTCTTTTGAAATTATTGAACAAGAAGAATATTTACTTTTTTTATCATAGATTAATGTTAAAAATTCTTTTTGTGAAAAATTTGGACGAAAAGGACTGTTATATGTTGTAAAAAATGATGGTGCACCGTCTAGAATAAATAAATCTAGTTTAATTAATTATCAAAACAAAACAATGGCTTATTAAGAATTCAAATCAAGACTGAAAATTTAGTCCACTGCTTGATTGATTACAAAAGATTTTGTTAGTTCGGATACTATAAAATCAATGCTGATAGTTAGGAATCACCTTTTTGAGATATATAACAAAATGAAACAGTTCTTTTTTTTTTATAAAGATCTTTCAACCGAGAACTATGGATATAGTAAGCCGATGAAAAGATTTACTTATATCCTTAATCTCCTTCTGAACAAATCTTAAATGAAACATGACAGATGATCTTTCATCGAAATCAACGATTTCGAAATTTTCAATAGTCTTGTATGACCACTCATAAATCCTGAAAATAATATTCATAAGCTCTATTATTTCAACTGAAACACAAAATACGAACCTGTATTATATTTTAATTGTTGTTGAGAATTAATAAGAGCCGAAGCAGCAGCAACGGCTATGGTTGGGGTTACTTGTTGTACATGAAATAAGGCATCTTTATTTTCTTTTATAAAATCTGTGTGTACATTTCCCAATTGAAATTGTTTATTATCGCAAAGAGACATTAAGAATGGAATATTTGTTTTCACACCACCAATCTATTGTGTTTAATATAATAAAAAGAAAGACATTTTAATCTAAAAAAATTGAATATACTTACATAATATTGTTGTAGAGCATTACGAAGTTTTTGTAATGCACTTGTTCGGTTTGTTGACCAAGCAACTAATTTAGCAATCATTGGATCATAATGCACAGATACTTCATCACCTTCGACAACACCAGTTTCAATACGAATTTTACCATCGTCACCAGTCGGAGGTGTTCGTAAATAAGTTAAAAGACCACTACCGGGCATGAAATCATTTTCGGGTTCTTCAGCATAAATACGTGCTTCAAATGCATGTCCATTTAATTTAATATTATCTTGTTTAAGTGGTAAAACTTCACCTTGTGCAACTTTTATTTGCCATTCAACAAGATCAGTACCAGTAATCATTTCTGTTATTGGATGTTCAACTTGTAAACGTGTATTCATTTCCATAAAATAAAATTCTTGATTTTCATCCATTATAAATTCTACTGTTCCGGCTCCGACATAATTAACCGCTCGAGCTGCTTTAACAGCTGCTTCACCTAATTTTTTACGTGTTGCCCAATCAAGACCAGGCTATAAAAAGAATATTCTTTGTTAATAAATTTTAGACAATATTTCTACCGCTGGCGCTTCTTCAATTATTTTTTGATGTCGTCGTTGAACACTACAATCTCGTTCAAATAAATAAACATAATTTTTATGCATGTCACCAAATACTTGTACTTCAACATGACTAAAAATTAAATAGGTTATCATTCATTGAATGTGAGATACTGTTAATTTTACCGAGGACGTTGAATAAATTTTTCAAGTAAAACTGCATCATCATTAAAAGATTTTCTTGCTTCAGACTTAGCACCATTGAGTTTGTCCAAAAATTCACTTTCATTAAATGCAATACGCATACCCTAACATAAACAATTACATAAGATTACAAGTAGCATTCGTCGTTGCGACTCGCTGTGAATGTTTAATTCTTTTTGCATAATTTACTACTTAACAAACTCAATAGACACTAATATCAAACCAATGCATGAGGGTTGATGCGGGTATGAGTGCTTGCCGATGTCGATGGGAATGTAGGGGTGTGGTAAATAAAGTTCGTCGGATTGGTTGCGAACCCGGCCAAGTCCGGACCTGAAAATTTTAGATCCGACGAGCTCTGATATGCGCGACCATGTCTCTCTTCTTCTCATCTATTCAACCAATCACACTCATACACACACCCACATCCTAACTATGCGTAATCAATTTAATATCATCGAACCCTATATGCAATTAACTTTCAGGTTATAAAGCTCCAAAAGTTTCCCTACAAAGCAAGTTCATATTTCTCAGCTAGAGAATTTTCAGAAAAAACTGATTAGAAAAAAACCTAATTTTCTTCTTTTGACAAAAGAAATTATGCCTGCTTAAAGTTCATTATAAGAACTATCAGAGTATGTATAAATCTCGAACTCGATTTTTCGGAAAATGTCTTCTTTAAGTGATAAACTTACTTTTCCTCCACCACCTCGCACAGCTTTAATCATAATAGGATAACCAATTTTTTTTGCTTCTTTGATCAGTGTATCATCTGATTGATCATCACCATGATAACCAAAAATAACTGGTACATTAGCATCATGCATTATAATTTTACTCAAATTTTTAATACCCATATCACCTGAAATGGATTGATGTCTTTTTTTTTGAAGTAAATGAATGAAAAAAAATACAAACATACGAATAGCATTTGGTGGTGGTCCAATAAATATGAGATTATTTTCTTTACACATCGTACAAAATTCATAATTTTCTGATAGAAAACCATAACCTGGATGAATTGCTTGTGAATTTGTTCGTTTAGCGGCTTCGATTATTTTATCTTTACGTAAATAACTTTGAAGAGCTGCTGCTGGACCTATATGAATAGCTTCATCAGCCTTAAAGATGAAACATACTAAATAATAAAACATGAATAAATTTATACTTCGACATACCATTCGAACATGTAATGAATCTCGATCGGCATCAGAAAAAACAGCAACTGATTGAAGACCAAGACGTTGTGCAGTACGAATAACTCGACATGCTATTTCACCACGATTCGCAATAAGTATTTTACTGAAGGTCATTGTAATCGTCTGAGATTCGCTTTGTTTCTTATAAGCAAAAGATCATATCTGATAAATAGACAATTATCAATAATCTTCTCTTTTTCTTACAATTAAAAAAAAGAAAAGGAACAAAAAAAAACAGAAACAAGAATTTATTTACAGAAAAAAAAAACATTAAAAAAACCAAACACATTTGAAATACTTGATTGCACTCACGGATACAAAATAGATAAACAAAACAAGATTCATTAGAGTTTCATCGTATCAACATCTTGATATATACGATTCGTTGTTGATTGTTGTTCAACAGCTTCAACCACAGTTGCATATCTTTCAGATAAATCATCACCTATTCCACTGCCAACTGATGGTCGAGAATAATAATAAGATTGTTGATTTTGATGTACTGTACCCGATGCACTTCCATTTGCTATTTCAGCATAAAGATCACTTCCAGTTGTTGTACCACGTTCACTATTTACAGATGAATAATAATTTTCACGTATTTGTTGTTGTTGTTGTTCTTCCATTTGTAAACGTTGTGCACGATATTGTAATGATTCTCGTGTTATAACTTCATCATAATGTGGACGACGACTAGAATCATTGTTATTTGCAGTCGTACTACCGTAAACTTGCGGTAGAAGTGGAGGCAATGGTGGTGGTGGTGGCGGAGGTGGTGGATGTTCTGGTGGAATTTGAGAAGTCATTGTATATCCAGTTAGATATGAACTCGGAGAAAAGATTGCCGGTGAAGAAGAAGAACTATAAATAAAAAAAAAGATCTCATAATTTATGGTGCGAAGTCTCAACACAATATATGTGCTCGTTTTCCAGCCACTAAAAGATGACTGCTTTGAGTAGGAGGCAATTAGTTAGAATTATATGTTTTTGCTATTTCCGAATGCAGTCAGATTTGCTTTCTTGAGTAAGATTGAACAGCTATCAGTAAATTTGGCGAAAAGGGTCAAAACCGAAAGCAAAATAGGGATTTTGGTGTAGTCCTAAGTTTGTGTCTTGAAATAACTCCAGCTTACAATTATTATAGAACACTAAATTTTGTAAAAAAAAAATGATGTACTACTATAAGCAAAATCTCATATATGTGATTCTATTAAAGAGCTGCATTCTAAAACAAATAGGCACCCTATTGAACCTTTTTAAGATCCATAGAACGAAAAGTGATTTGGTATCCAAAAATTTGAAACTATTCATTTTTAAAATAAAACCTTATAGGCTGTGTGTTATATCTTAAAGAATTTGTATCAAACTTAAATTGTTTCGTCGCAAAGGTACCGAGAGTGTAACCGAGTGAAGAATCGATTTAATTCATTAGAAAAGATGTAATATAAAAGAAAGAAAGAATCTTTAATAAAAAGTCTCAGATAAATTGAGTTTTCCTTCCAATAGTTATTTCAAAATATAATGTGCTCTAATGTCTTTGGATAGGAATATGATAGATATCTGCGGTTTGCAATATTGAAGAGAGAAAATCCGAGGTTATCGAAATTGGATTGGTTAGCAATTAATCAATCAGATGAGTTCTTCATGGAGATTTTCGATAGGGATATTCTGAAGCTAATTGTCTTTCGATCTATGCAAGATCAACATTTCTAGTTTCATCCGTTCACGTGTTATAAGGCTTTTTCTAAAATCCACGATTTTACTCCATTGATCTGGGATCATTTTGAAAAGCAGCTAGACAGAGCGGATAATTTACCATGCTAAGTCAACTGATGATAATTTTTTTTTCCTTGATTCAAAATTATCTGACTCTGTTATCTCAATCTTTATGAAATGTTACGGTCTGTCTTGATGTATCAAAGAAGTCAACAGTTTCGGAACATTGAAATAAAAGTGTCCAATCAGTTCGAACTTAAAAACAAATATCACCATTCCACTCAGCATGATGAAGTATCCGTGTTTATCTACCCTTGTGAGTTTTCATACGTCAGTTGACTGAAATCGAGAGTCTCAGAAAAAGTCTTGTAACTCTCAAGCAGAATAAGCTAGAAATGTTGACCTTACGTAGATCGAAACAGAAATAGCTTTAGAATGTCATTTTCGAACATCTCTATCAAGGAGTCACCTGATTGATTAATCAAACCGCGATATACTTTGATGACCTCGGATCGGCTTTATTGAATGGTGAAAATTGCAAGTTTCTATGAAGTTTCTATTAAAAGTTATACACAAAAATAGTGAATTGAGCCACATAATATTTTAAAATGGTTCGTAATATCAAATTCATAAAAGAAATAACTATAATATTTAACTTTTAATTTCATATGTAAATCGAATACTTACGTAGTTGTGGATGCTGGTGATGAACCTTGTCTAAGAGCAGCTGCAATAGCAGCTGTAGCATTCGGTGTTGTTCTAATTTCATTATTTCCTACTGCTCTTGTTTTATCAACAGTAGCATACAGTTGTGTATCATCATCGAATGATTGTTGCTGAGATCGAATTGGTGTTAATTTTGTATAACCACCATATTCCATTGATGTTGTTGAATCTCTATAATCATTATTAATACGTATTTCTCCATCACCTGATGAACCAATAATTTTTTCATAATCGGATTCAATTGGAACAGTCGATGCATCAGATGACAATGGAAGTGGTGCTAAAGTAACTGTTGTTGTTTTTATTGGATTTATATTTGCATTATTTGATGATACACTATATGTAGCACGATCACGTTTAAAACAAAAACAAAATGAAAATGTCATGATAAACGTGATTGAACTACCAATTAATAAACTAATTAACCAATCGATCATCGTTTTTCACGATAAATGATCGAAATAAATTTCATCTGAAAATAAAATTAAAATACATAAGTTTATATTTCAACATGAGATTGCGCATAAGGATACTCGAACAAAAAAGACGAGACAAAAAAAATATGATTTCAATGAGATCTTTAATGACGACCAGTAAATGTATCCATGGAATGATGAAGACCAATCTTATCTTGTATTTCAAGTTCGGCAGCTGTTGGTGACATTCTAATATAAAAACAAAAAATAATTTATTTTTGCTTTCGTGCGATTTTTATTCTAACCTGCTTAAAACAAGACTAAGACCTAATAATTTTGGTATAAGTAACATATGTTGATTTTTTCGTATAGCTTCAATTATTAAATCACAAACATTATCTTGTTTTAACATGGGAGTAACATAACTTTCAAATAAAAATATTAGAAAATTTAATTCAGAATTTGTCTTTTTAGATTTACTTTGTACCAACACCTTCGAACATTCCTGTATTAATAAAACTTGGACAAACAACTGTTGTCTTAATGCCATATTTTTTTAAACTATATAATTCATGTCTAAAAAAAAAACAATATTTATTTAGTAACGTATTTATATGAGACGAATTTATACGTTAATGCTTCATGTAAACCAACAGCAGCAAATTTTGATGAACAATAATCAACCAAACCTGATGCACCGACTAAACCAGCACTACTTGCAATTGTTACAATATGACCATAATTATTTTCTATCATTGATGGTAAAAATGCTTTTAAAATCTTCATAAAAAAAGAAAAACAACAACAAATGAATTAAGAGAAGAAGAGTAAAGAATTAAATTCTACCCAAAAATGAGCCATAATATTCACATCAAACGTACGTTGAATTGATGCATCACTACAATCAAGAAAATGTTTACCAGAAACAATACCAGCATTGTTTATAACCATTGTTACTTGACCGATTGTTTCTTGAACCTAAATTGACAAATACTATAATAAACATTTCTTCAAATATATAATGAATATACGACTTGTTGCATTGCTTGGTAATAAAAAAATTTCAGAGCATGTTTGTTGAAATCAAAAAAAAAATAGGCTTAAGATTAGAAAGTTGTTCTATTTGATTATTTTTCTTTAACACAAGCATTACTTTTTTTTATACTCGTGATATCCTGTTCGTCTATTTTTTGTAGTTGAAAAATAGAAAGTTTCATGCTAATTTAACTGTTTCAGAAGAATTAGTTTTTTGAAAACAAATGATCGTGCTGCAGACAATACATCGTCATTTTTCTTCTCCGATCAGTGTTGGAAAATGATAAGCTGTATGCGTCAGCGATTTGTCAGCAGTGGACTGACTTCTTCTTAAACACTGCTACCTACCATATTTGTCAAAGATCTATCGAAATACTTGAAGACGAAAAGCAATGAAATTAAAAATGGAGCATCATCAAGCAAGCAATGTTAGAGAAGATGGTGTTTCTCTTGGAAATTTTCAATCGCCCCTACAGAAGAGAAAATGTGATTGAAAAAAATTCTGGACAACTCGGAAATTTTTTGTGGATTATCTCATCAAAAGAAGGTTCGATCAGCAGAGAAAAATTCTTCATCGTATACAAAGCACTCTTTTAACATACGACCCTCATAGAAATATTATATGTCTACGAATCAAGATGATGCGTTCAAAAAAGATCTCTATTTTTGATGAAATTCCGTAGTGAAACTCGATTATAGAATGTTTTGTTCATGTAACGTTGCTAATTTTCGCAATAAAAACGATGTCTTCGAAGGAAATTCAACAAACTCCACCGAGCACACTTATTTTGAGTACAATTGGATTTGCATCCGTTTTCTACAAATAGTGCGTTACGGAATGGAATTAGCATTGAATTAACTAATACTTCAAATTTTATTTTTCTCGAATCAAAAGACTTGAGCAATTCTTTTTGTTGAATTTCAGTATGACATATACCATTTGATGCATAATCCGATGCTGGTGACGAATATCTAGTTGCTTTTGGCTATTTTTTTGCTTTGATTCCAATTCAAACTATGATCTTCACAAAAGACATGAAATTTCATAACGGCTAATATTTTCTCAAGAACTTCGCTCGAATTCAAAGAAAATCAATGAAATTTTTACTGAAGTAGATCTAAATGATCTCTATTTATAAGACAAATTTCAAATTTGCTATTACCATTGACAAGAAATAGATGTTAGAATGTAAAAAAAAATGAAATTTCATAATGCTTAATCACATGTTTCTGCAAATTATCACAGTCTCTCAAAATTTCTTTACTATGAAATCCTATTAGTTTTCTTTCGTTCTATGTAATTAATAAAATATGATTAACTCTTATCACTTTGAGTTAATGCTCATTATTTATTATTCTCATACGCGTAAAACTTACAAAATATTTTACTTAAGTTACTCTTATATATTTTCAACAAATACAAAAGTTTTTATAAAAACAAAAATTTCAGTGCTTACTTTTTTAGCACATTCATATATATTTTCCTTTTGTGTTAAATCACATTTCATTGCATGAATTCGTTTTGAATTTGTTGCATTATTTAGTTCTTCAGCCACGCGATGATTATTTTCATTATCAACATCCCATAAAATAAGTGTACAACCAAAACGAGCTAATCGTTGAGCGACACCTTTTCCAATTCCACTTGCAGCACCAGTGATAAGTATAATTTCAGAACTTAAATCTTTAAGTGGAGATCCACCTGTGATGAGATTAATTAGAGTAAGAAACCAATGTTTAAATAAAATAATAAACATTAAAATATATTGGTAAATGAGATTTCTAAGAGCCATACTATTTTTTTAAAATTTTAAATCTAGAATAATATCAACTAATGAAATATTTGTTCATGTATGCTAGTTTATTAACATCGAATTAAATAGCAAAAAAAAAATTCTTTTCATTAGTGTCGAACAACACGAACAACTTTTCGTTTTCCAGGTTTTTTCCCATCAGCTTGATCATCTTGCTCTTGATTTGTAGCAGTACGTAATTGAGCATAAGGTGAAAAGAAATACAACATAATTCCTTTATAAAGAGCATAAACTGGAATCTACAAAAAAAGAAACAAATATATATAATAATTTCTTAAAAATTAAAAATTTTTAAAATCCATACGGCTAATAGAAACCACCAAAAATATCGATGTATTAAACTAGCTGATTGTGCAATAACAATAACTAAAATAACATCTTTAGCATATCTAAATAAGATTATATTCAAGTTATATAAATAGATAAATAAAAACCTTACTCCGAAATACTTCCTTCGAGATTTAAATCAGTTACGCTACCACCTGATTTTGATGTACCGATTTGACGCATAAATGACCAAACAAACCATGCAATAATAGATGATATTACAAAAAGAATCTTGAAATAAATATGACATGATTATTTATTAAGCCAAAAAAAAAAATTAAAACAGTTTCTTACAAGAGAAAAAATTGAAAGTCCAGTGATAAAATAATAGATGACATGCACAGCGAGAAAAATGCCCTAGATGATGTTTCAAATTCAAAAAAATTATTTTCTTTTTATAATATAAAATCTTACATTAGCAATAGTTAAGACATTTCTATAAAATTTAATTGTTTCAACGTTTTCTTTAGCTATTTGTGCTTCACCTTTTGTTGCTTGTTTGCCTTTTTTCTATGACGAAAGAAAACAAGAAAAATGAAAATTTACTCAAGTATTATACTGAAACGAACATACTTTTGTTCCGCTGGCTCCACCGACAGGAAACATCTAAATATAAAAGAATTATATTTGAAATAATTATTTCGTAAATTTCGGTTAGATGACCCATAGTCTCTATTTATTAGTGATTGACTTGTTTGCTCAGTCTAATATGCGATCTCATCGGTGGAGAGCTTAAGAGCAAATCAATTTTATGCATTATCGATATCTAGTAGATGGCGCCAACAATTGATTCTTCAATCAAGAAGTTCGATGTGAAAAAAGTTTGTAAAATAAGTGGATTATAAGTACGACATGTTTGCGTAAAACTCATAAACTTACAAGAATAATTTTTCTCATTCATATTTGTTAATAAATTATATTTTGAATTTAAATTCGATTACCTAATATTATAAATAATTTATTAATAATAGATACAAATACAGATAAATGAATACATGATAGAATTATTTATATATTCATATGAATAAATAAATTATTAGACAGCAGGAAGACGAGCAGGTAGATAAATGATATAAGTCTATTTGCATATTGATCAACTTGCTTATCTGTTCAATTTTTTTCTATTTATCGACATATATCATTGTCTTATGTCAGATTAGAGATTGGACACGTCTTAATTCTCATTAAATGAAACATTCAGTTCAAATCTGACCTTTTCATATGTGTTTATATATCTATCATATCAAATCAAATTTGTTTATTATCCATTTCAATTTAATAATTAAATGATTTTCTTGGACAAATTGTTGTCTGTACTTCTATTTATGACATAACCAGAAAAAAGTCAGAGAGAAGCGGAGTTGGGCTTCTCTAGCCTCCGTCTGGTTACGCTACTAATTCCTGGATTTAGTCATAATAAAGAATATCGGATATTGTTGTTTTAGTTATCAGTTAAAAATCGTGACTCTACCATCGGTTTTAAGGTGAAAAACTATAAATTCAAAGTTGTCATAATTCCTTTCGTAAGACTCTATTCAATTTTGTTAGTCAATATAAATTTCTTTTACTTAATATTAATAAAAGAAAATGGAATTCTACAAACGAAAAATAACCGATTTAATCATCAATCTCAATGCTATGTGTTTTCATGTCATTTTTCGATGATAATATAATTCTCTCAACTAACTTTTTCATAGTTTTTCGTTTGACTTCAAAAAATTCTATTTCAGTAGTATCATAAGCAACTGTTAAATGTTCTATTGTCTCGTTTTTAATAATCTAGCATGAACCTCAACAATATCAGTTTAACTAAAAACAAAAATTCACTAGTTTTATCGACAAATTCCGCTTTTCGTGTTCAGCTGAATAATGCACAAATGGATACAGCACGATAATGTTCAGCATAAAAAAGTCAACGTGAAATGTTGAGCTAATTGAATGAGAAGAACCATCAATAGCAATGTAATCTAATATAAAATCGGATCACAGAAATAATTAGGGTATGAGTGTGCTTCTTATTAATGCTTTTTCTCATCGACACCCATACCCAAAGACTATAATGATCGAGAATAAATTGTCAATGACATTTAATAAAAATCAAAATAAATAGAAAATTTTCACTTTCATGAATATCAATGGAAAATGTCGAGCATAAAAAGTGATATAATCGATGCAACAACGAAATATTTGCTTAGGTTACAAATTTCTCTTATGACTCTATCGATAGTGTCAATCACTCAATTGCTAATGCGATAAATTCTATCATGAAATGAACTAAATATCGATAAATCAATGTTAAATGAACCAAAATAGAGTAGGTACCAAGGATATTTCTAGAACATCCCATTTATGTGAATCATACGATGAGTTCAAAAATAATTCACTGACTTATTTAGATCGCTTTGATCCGTCTGTTGTGCGTGGATGAAGCCAGCCGGTTATATTTAACTTATAATGCAATGAGACTCACGATTTGATGCTTATAAGTTGATTGTTTGTAGATTTTCTTCTGTTCCTTTCAGTTTCTTTGACAGACATACAACATATTATATAGAATTTCTTGACAGTGAACCATTTATTGGATAGAAAGAATTGTTTTTTACACTTAGAAAACAACGTTTACTATTGTATTTTATGATGTTAAATAACTTTTCAGTTTAAATATTCATGAAATTAAATAAAAAAGAGGATTAATAAATATATATGAACCATTTCATTTGTTAGCAACATGACTTCGTAGAATAAAAATGTGTATATCTGTGGACTATGAACTTCTCTATAGGCAAATTTTTATGTATTAAATGAGCGTTGAGTTACTTTACTAGATACCATGAAAAACTCAGTTCTAGAAACTTTTTTTCGGACGAGTTATGATTAAAAAATTGGCATTGGCAGCATGACATAAAAAAGGAGAAAGGTTTTCACTACATGCATTTTCATTCAAAAATATTACGAGTTCAAGTATTACATAGGAAAACCAAATAGTGCATTTTGTAGAGGATTCTTCGAACTACAAAATCTTTAAGTAAAGAGTTTTTTAAACATGTTTAAGTTTTTCAATAAAATTGATTTTACTCATTGTAAGTGATGTGATATGATACGGGAAACAAAATAAAAAGAAATATTCTTATAATTGAATGAAAAACCTAGAAGTTAAGTCTAAATGGTAACAACTCTTCTTGAGAATTCTGTGATGATAGCAAAACAAAAAGTCGTGTTCTACAATATAAAGAAATCTCTAGAAAACAATTTTTTTAGGAAGCAATGCTTTTTTTCAGTCTAATCTTTCTGAAGATTGCACAATAAATGTGGTTCATGATATGAAGTCTAACCTGAAAAAGCTTGTTAAAAAAATAATCCTTGTAAAGAATCAAAGTCAAATGGAAGATGATCATATCTCGTTTTGGCTGAAATTATCCGAATATTAAAATAAGTCGGTTTTGTTCCATTCATATATTAAGAGATATTCAATTTTTCTTTTATTATACTTTTTGTGTGTCTTTGTTCGAGCTTCGAACTTATTTCCCTTATTTTCTATGATGTTAAATTCTAATGAACAGATTACATAAGATGCTACTTAAGCTCGCTTTATCAAGTAATATTTAACTAAAGCTGAAGCCTATTTGTTAGTTTAAATTATGATTGAATATAAAAGAAAACTCTCATTTAAAACTTTACTGTTACCAATTTTAATAAATTGTGTTGCAACATAGTACATACGATAATATATTCTGCGTTTCTACTATTGTTTAGAACATATAGTTATCTAACTTCGATTTCCATGAAGTAACTTTGTGCAATAGTCCTTGTTTCAAAATACTTATAATGAGCACATTACACATCTGACTATGAAGACATCAGATTATCACAAAGAGTTCATGCAACTAACCTCCTACGATTTGCATAAAACATTTAGTTTACATCATTGTGTAGAGCGTGTAGTTTTAGTATGGTACATCCATTTTGGTCTGATTGCTTCATTTCCTTCCTTGGGAAAAGATCGTTTTCGCACCTATGTTTCAGATATCATAGTTTAATGAGTATAGATTTTGACGCTATTTTAAGTGATATATTTTGACGATGAATTCTACCTGATTATGGTGGAGCAGGATGATAGTTACGGATTAAGTGCGCAAAAAATGAATGACATGTAGTAAGATCTGTGTTTTGAGGTCTTCCTGAGATTCTATTCTGAAGAAAAAAAAATAGTTCACTCTGAAGCGCATTCTGTGATCTATCGAATGGTATGTGACTAAAAAGAACCCACTCAAAAACAGAGATGGAATGAAATAAAAAGGAAAAATGCGCGGTATATTTTTGTTGAACGCTTCACAATTAAAAGAACATGTTGTTTTCATGAAAACAATGTCATAAACTGGAAATATAATACGCGAAACTAACGGTTTTCGAAAGGAAGAGCATGAAGTGAGGTCCATTCGATGATGACAAGAGAAAATTCAAAGCTCTATTACAGCTCTGAAGGTAAAGAAATATGACAAAACAAAAAGTTCTTTCAATGTTTGTTTTAGTAATTGTAGACTTGATGATACTCGTAACATTGTTCGACCTCTATTGATACTTTCTGGTATGTTAAACATGATCACAAGGTAAGAGAATATACTGAGTTGAGATAAAGTTTGGACGTCATCATGGAGGCAAAGGAAATCAAGCAATAGTAAATTATGGTTGGTCGAAATTAAAACGATGAATAGCTGTTATGCTTGGATTGTTATTATTGATACTCAGTAAAAAGTTTATCGATTGATAGTAAGCACAAAAAAATACTTTTGTCGTAAGTACAACATAATTATCAGTGGAAGTGTTATATTGCTCTTAATTTAAAATAAATTGAAATTATTTTTATTCTTAATTTATTAAATTAAAAACAAGTTAAACGATTCTATTTTTTAATACTTCATGAAGGATATACCTCCTATTTCTAACATAATATATATCTACAGATTATGTGTTTTACAATATTTTCTTTCATCCAATAAGTCCACGGCTTCCGAAAATCCTAATCTTCATCAAAATGAGTTTTTCAAAGAAAAATCAAAAACTTAGTTCATGCCATATCAAGATATAAAATGTTTCAAACATTCAGTTCTGAGTTTGAAGTATTTTTCGTGAAGTAATCACTTGTCAAGAGTGGCAATTAATTTTTAATCTAAGACCAGCAACGACTTATGAGTGGTGAAGCACTCATTTTCAAGACTTGAGAAAAATTACAGTTGCTTAGTTCTCATTAAAATATTTTCTTGTCGTTTAACTATTACGAAATACTCAATATTCTTTCTGTAAGCTTTCGCATTGATTAATGACTCTAAAATACAAAGAAAATACAATGATAATTACTAAAATTATATGTTGTTCACTAGATGTGCAATGCAAGGCTAAAGCTAGGAGAAGAGTGTTTCGAGGAAATAAAGGTTTTCTGTAACCTTGGACCAAAGGTGTTTGAAGTTCAGCAATCCAACCGTGTAATCGATATCTTAAAATTCCCAATCTTGATTCTCTTTATACAAAGTCATTATTTTCCCGAAATATACTTCCCCAATCCAGATATTAGGAATGACAAATTTTTCCTTACTCGACAGTTGGTAGCTGAAAATGTGATGGTAACTTCTTCCCTCGAGTTTCAGTCTTGCATTACATGTCTTATGAACGACACTTAATTTTAGCAGTTATGATGGTGTCTTCTCCGTATTTTAGAGTCATTTATCAATGCGAAAAAGTAGAGAAAGAAGACAGAGTATTTCGTAAAAGCGAAATGGCAAAGAAATTTCTTTTTTGATTCTAACTAAGAAACTGTAATTCTACTCAAGTTTGGAAAATGAGATTCTGATCAACTTTTCAATAACTAGTCGATAGCGAAAAGAAGTCTTCTTATTTACACACTCAATATATGGAGTATACTACGAATAGCTGAACTTGATCTTCAGTTATATTAAAACAAACAGGCTGTTTTCAGAATTTTCAATAGGAATTCTTTATTCATGTATTCCTAAAGGACTATATGCTCCCGGTATAGGATAAACTTTCTCGTGTCTGAAAGCTTATTTGTAGCACAGAATTCTGAATTATAGACGTCTTAGGATAATTGTTCGTCAACCGCAATACAAACGCGTTCAAACAAGTTCACCAATTACTTGCTAAGGCAATTATAACAAGGAATGAGTCTGGACTGTAAAAGAAATTCCTGTTACAAAACCTAAAAGGATTCTTTCCGCGAACATAAACTCGGAACCTTTCTGAGCTTCGTACGAAAAGTACAAAACTTTTTTAAAGATCTCTGGAGCGAAGAAGGCTGTTGCACTTCTTGTACAAAACTTTTATGAGTTTCGTACGAAACCGAAAATGGCTCCTAGTTTCTATCCGCGGGGAAGAATCCTTTTAGGTTCTGTGAACAATCGTTCTTCTGAGTTTGTGCGTATTTCAAGTGTTTTTAAAACGCATTCTAATGCGTTCGGCTATTATTTTACAAACCGCATGCATTTGCGATCTTGAAAAGAAACATGTCTAGGCGAGTTTCAAATCAAATCGCGTTCAGACGGATTTGAAATTATTTTTAACCATTGACGTGTTTTATAACGAAAGTAAGTTTGAGCATTCCAATTTTGAGTTTGGTGTTTACATTGGGGGGGGGGGGGGGGGGCAAAATTCAATTTTTGTCATAAGGGAAGGCGACTTAGTCTTCCTGACAAGTACATTGGTCTCGGATCATCGTGCAGTAAGTCAAACACTGAAANGAGATACTTATCGAATTGCCATTAATATGTTTGAGTAAAAGGTTTCTAGAAAACCAAATATTTCTAGATTTTATTCAAAGCAATTTGCATGCAATTTTATCTAATAGAGAAAACATCTCTGAGCAAGATCAGATGTCCCCGAGTTCCCACAACCTATCTTCAGCAAACTACACTGATTCTATGAAAGGCTCCAAAGTGCAGAACACTATAAATTCTAGAGTCCTGTGAGACAGTCGCAAATCTTGAAAAGTTCTGTTTGCTCTATTTCGTAGAACGATATCTTAATGTTTCTTTCGATCAACGAGACAAACGGGACATCTTAATTTGTTCAGAAATGTTTCTTCCAATCGATGAATTTGTATGCAAAAAGTTTTTAATGAAACCGAAAATTGATTTTAGAAGTCTTACTTTTCTGGAGATCTCTATACACACCTGTGAATGGAAATTCGACAAGTAATTCTGATAGAAAATCACTTCAACTAATCAAATCTTTTTTCTAATTTGTTCTAGATGTTATGATTAAGGGAAAAAGTCAAATGTGCTATGTTTTTAAACAATTTGCCTTCATTCTTTTCTTTAGTATTTACCTAACACTCTTCAACATATCAAGTCGTCGTTGATGACGATCTTTTTCTTCTAAACGTTTAGCTATTTTTTCGTCAAGTGCTATTTCATCTGTTTGAACATTATCGATTAATTTTTGATATTTTACTAATTCACGCTATAACAAAGAGAAATATTTTGTTTGAAAGATTTTTCTTTTCTTACTTTAGCAGCATTTTCAGCTTCACGTATACCCTCTTGAACTTCGGATAATTCCATAGCTCGACTCATAACTTCTTGGCGTGCTTCCTAATGAAATTCACTCGATAGATTAACAGAAAGATAAGACAGTTCATTATCTTACTCGTGCATCAAGTTCTTTTCCTAATAATTCATGTAAATTAGCACCTTTTTGTGTTATAGTCGAACAAAGTTGACGAGCACTTTTAAGTGTACTAATCTAAAAATTAAGAATTTCAAAAACAAAAAATTTATTATTATAATTTAAAAATCTTACATCATCATTCATAGCATAACGATAATGAGTATCAATATCATCTTCTTCATCTAATTCTTTATTTTCACTATCACGTAATGCTTTATAAAGTGGTGTTATAACTTTAAGAATTTCTTTTACAGCATGACCATCAGCTTGATAAAGTTTTTTAGTATTTAATTTCAAATGTGCTTTAGTAGCCTAAAATACAAAAACGAAAAATAATAAGATATATACATGTATGAAATATTGAAATTCTTATTACAATTATTTGAGTTATACTACGAATAAATATAACACGATCATGTTCACCTTCAATATCACTTGGAACATCAGCTAATGAATCATATCTGATTTAGAAAAAAAAAACAATAAAGACAATATATCAAAAACAAAAAAAAGATATGTGAATTATACTGTTTAACAAGCCAAGTCATTATTTCAGCAACGAGACGAAAATTGGGTTGACGAAAATTTTCCATTGAAATTAAACGTGGATACGAGAGAACTCGAGCCATCTCGCATAGATCTAATTTGATTACAAAAAAAAAATTATTTTACGGATTTACTAAGAGATAAAGCAACTTACGGCTAATATCTCGATAGGTCATCTTAATATATTAATAAGTATACTTGAGTGAAGAAAATTTGTAAATATGCAGTTCCATACATCGGTTTAGTTTTAATAAGGCTGCTTAGTAACAAAACAAAAGTAGAGGTCGCTTTCCAAACAATCTCAATCATATGATCCGTCGTGTGATTATGATTGTATAATACAAACTGTTATGGATTAAATTTAAATAATATAATACTCTTATTCTCCGATAATTTAAATGACTCAATTAAACAACATGATGTTTATTTTCTGTACATATTCAAGATCTTGTTCTAGTCTTTGTACTATAGTCTCAGTCGAAGTTTGACAATTAAAATAACTTGCATACAATTGAGAATACAATTTTCTTATCTTTTTTTTTAAACTATTCATTGTATGATGAATAATATAAAGCACAAGAGTGTTGACATTATTGATGGTATCATTGATTAGTTTTATTTATTTTCTTTTGCTTTTGTAATAAAAATAACACACGAAGCCAAAAAGTTTGATCGAATTCCCGTAGATGTTGAAGATGAAAAACAAGCATTTTTGTTTTTAGAGAAAATTGAATAGTCTCATTATAAAATTCAAAAACAAAAGAAAAAAATAATAATTTATCAATACTTCTACGAAACTGTTTCTTTTCAACTTATTCACCCCATTTTTTTACAGTTTCTTCCATAAACAACATACCGCACAACCATGTGCAATTTTTCTCACATGTCGCCAATAAGTTTAAGACAGTTGCACGCAAAACTGTTTACTAGAAAATTATGAATAAAATGATTCAGAGGAAACAATCAACTCAATTCATAAAGCTGAACAGATTTTAGAGTATCATTTAATATGCATCTGTTCATACAAATTAACTAATAAAAATTAAGACACAATGAAAATCTAAAAAAAAAAATCAGTCACACTTTATATGAATATTGACATCCGAAAAAAACCAAGTCGGCTAATGTCCTTGTAAATTCAAAACATAAAAAATGAGAACATAACGACCAGTTACAACTCATCATACACTTACTGATTTCGTGAAATATTTTTTTCTGCTATTCAGTTGACGAATAACAATCACTATTTTCCTACAACAGGAGTCATACTATTTCTAATACGAGCATACATTACATACTAAAAAAAACTTTTTTCAGGTAGTCAACTTTAAGCTTATTGGGCGAACAAGTGTCTATTTCTCTCATTAACTTATGCACAAATATTTTAAACAACTTATATTTCAGTGCATACTAATTACAATGAGATATATTTTTTTGAAACAAGCAATAGTAATGTCTGTCAAGATTACTATTCCATCACGTCTGCTTAAAATGTAACATTATCACTTATACATACCATCAATATATCAGATATACTAAATTTTAATAATATCAAAATGATATATATATATATATTTCAAAGAATAACATTTTCTGCTTGTTATTGAATATTATCAATATGGACATGCAAATATCCTAAAATGATATGAGAAATAGAAAGTAAAATTAAGAGATCTTTTTTCAAGTCGGTGTATGTATTTAAAATAAAATTATTCTAGCAAAGACATCGACAGAAGCTAATTTCTATATCAAATCTTTATTTGTCTAAATAGAAATTTTTTTCTCCAAAATAACAATCGAGCTTGAAGCAAATGTCCTTTTCATAAAAATCATGTTTCGAGTTAGTTTGAGAGCATTGTACTTACTAGAAAATGTTTAGTACAATATTTAGAATATTCTTTGAAATTTTTATAGGTAATCAATGAACAGAGATTTAAACAGAGAAATATGTGGAAAGACAAAGCACATTGAAATAAATTCTCTAGTTATTATACAGACATTCTCAAAGCTAAACTATACAATAAGACAAAAATTGTTATTTATCTAATACACGTAGATTATTATCATTCAATTCAGACTTTGACAAGCCTCTATCATAATGATAGTAAAATCTCCGATGAAAGTCTGACTGATACATTAATCAACAATAAAGTAAAGCAAGTTTTCCATCTACGAAATTGACAACATCTTTCATAGTTCGACATAGATACCCACAACACTCGATCTTCGTCTGATACGTATAGTTCTGATTAGTAAGTTATGGATCAACATTTTTCTGGGCCCAGACCAGAATTCGATTTTGACGTGAGTTTTTCTTCGACAAGATGATGCTCCATAGAAAAACATCAAACTTGAAAAAATGAAAAGAGAATATTATAGATTAACTATAGACTTCTTGTAGTCAGATTCAAAGTTAGTTGTAAACAGAAAAACATAGAACTATCATCAACTTAGAAAAAATGTAATGCGTCGGCAAGGGTTAAACGAACTTTTATTGTGTGCTTTGCATGCACTGTGTAATACAACCTTTTTTTTTTCTTCAAATAAAAGTTACATTAATTGTGTTTATGAACATGCATCACAACTGCTTTGTTCCTTTTACTTTTACATTCCGTCGGTTTTTCTGTACTACGACGGATAGTCAATTATAATGGTATGACATTAATATTAGTACTGAAATCTTATTGATATTATTAAAAATTGAATTTTAATTCATTAATGAAATAATTAATATTAATTGATAAGAATATCAACTTCAATGTGACATCTCGAATAATTGCAGAATGAAGTTTTGATAATCTGTTGTCTCGAACTCGATCCAACGAAATTCCGTTCGATTTGATCACTGAAACACTACGACTGAATAATTTATGTTGTTTTATTAGTTTTTTTTTGTTTGTTTAAGAATGAAAAAGAAATGACGAAGCATTTATTGAAAGACAAATTATGATAAGTTTTCGTTTCAAACAAAATTTAATCAATTGACAAAATTTTTCGACAGTAGTTATCTTTGACATCTGTTTGTATTTATTTTTCATATCTAATAACAAGAATAAATATCCTCGATTGTCATACGTATTTGTTTCACATTGATAACGTAAAAAATTTAAAATAAAATAAGAAGAGAGGAAAAAGTGAAATTTAGTTTCTCTCACTTTATTTTTATCTCTTGTCAATTTTGTATTACAATGAAAAATATAGCATATGATAGCATGATCACTTATTGATAAAAAAAAAGGAGCAAGAAGTTTATATTACGAGTGCAAATCGCAATCCACAATATTGACCATTAAAGTATTTCATATTTGAGAATAAATACTTTGTATATTTGGTTAATATGACTTAAAATCTCAGTTTATCTCGTGATTCATTCCATCTCATGTCCGTTATGTGATATCATTGATTGAAAACACATTCATCTATTCACATAGTTTTGAAGAAATGTCATATTATCAGCATATTTTGTTTCATATTCCAGTACAAATCTTCTTGAAATCATAGTTTCCATTTTCTAACAAATTTGACAATGATGATTTATATTTCATTCATCTATTTCCTTTTTTTTTTTTTTTGAATGTAAACAACTAACATCATGGCAAGAATATCAGGGATATGAGTTAAAGAACTGACAAGAATAACAAATCACACTTATATAAGATCTATGTTTGATAAAGTTGATTGTTTGTTTGACTTATTCAACATGATCACCACCTGTAAGTCGATACTTGGCAATACCTGATTCTTTCATAACACATATATGTTCTAAATCCCGAAAATATTCATTATAATCCTAAAAAGAAAAACCAAATTATTTTTTTTTTAATTAAATCATTCGAAAATTGAAGAAATATCTTACAAGTGCATAACCAACAATAAAATGATCGGGTACTTCAAAACCTGAATAATCTGGTTTAAATATACATTTTTTATCTCTACGTCTTTTTGTAAATAATGCAACAACATGTATTGTTTTTGGTTGAAATTTTTCAAGTTCTGTTTTTAATGCAGCCATTGTAACTCCTGTATCAATAATATCTTCAATAATTAGTACATGTTTATTATGTAATACATTTAAATCACTTAAGCCCATTATTTCAAGTTGATCAGATGAACGATCATTAACATAACTTCGTACACGGATAAATTCTAAACTCATTGGTAAGCTACGATCATTTCGAAGACTAATAAAAAAAAAAAACAGAATACATATAAAAATAAAATTAAAAAACAAACCGATTCTCATTTTGAATTTTTGATACAAGATCCGAAAAGAATCGATAACCACCTTTGAGTACACATATACAAACTAAATATAATAGAAGTTATTATTATTATTTTTTTTTTTTTGTTAAAAGAAATTATTTTTTTTACTGAGTTGCTCTGGTATATGAATATGTAAATCAGAAAAAATTCGACTTGCCAATGCTTCAATACGATCTTGAACAAGTCCATATGGAATCAGAACTGATTTCAAATCATCACGATAGTGTAATGGTAAGCTTAACACAAAAAAAAAATCAATTTTTTTTAATTGAGTTAGAACAAAGATAATTACTTAAAATAATTTAATGGATAACCTTCAAATGAATCTTCAATAACAAGTGGATTCGATTCGATACGATGGTCGTCCGCATGTTTCGACATATCTGCCATCAAATTTGACTGTTGAATTACGTCTTATCTGTAATTAAAAAAAACCACAAATAAAGAAGATCATAAAAGAACTTATCTTCGCATTCAGATTGTTTATCATTCCTGATCATGACCTGTTTCACACTTACTTTTTGTAGTTTTCTTTCGTCTTATTCTGTATGTTTGTCTTCGACAGAAGGTTATGAATACAGGCAGTACCCCCTTAAATATAATTACGCATATTTTTACACGTTCTGTTCTGTTGTTTTTTTTCTTTTTTTTTTATTGTATAAAACATTAGTAGGAGAAGGAAGTTTATGTGTGAAAAAACTATAGCGCAATGAAAATGAGCCAAACAGAACAAGTCCACTTCTATACACATGTAAAACTAAACAATAAGATTAACACCAACAAAAAAAAAAGAAAAACAAGATAAGTGCAACAACATACAGAAAAAGAATACGTGCGAAAGACGAAGAACATGATCAAGATTACATATATTAAAACACGCACGCACACACACATATACTTTGATAGTCTAAAAAAAATCTGAAAAAAAATAAATAATTGAAGAAAACTTATTGTTTTTCTTTCCCTATTTACTTAAAATATATTTATTTTAATTTTCATTAACATCAACCCATCGTTTTATTCGTTTTGGACTTGTTTCCCATATTGTTGTTTCAAGTATATCATCCTCTTCGTCTTCAATACCATTATCATTATCATCAGATAATTGACATGATACTCGTCTTGTTGCGGTTGGAACTGGTTGTGAATCAACTCGTAAAAGTTCTATTCAAAACAAATAACAATCATAATACTTTTCACATAACAAAAACAAAAAACAAATATTGATTATTTTTTTTTTCAAAACGAATTAATTGTATCAGTAGTTATTTTTATTTTTTCGATGAAAACATGTTGGTATCAATAGAAGAATGATTCTTCATGTTTACTGATGATGACACGAACTCGGATCTGGATCTGAAAATTTTGGGCCTAATGGGCTCTAGTCGTCTGAGATATATGTAGGGTTACACTAACCATCTAATATAAAAAAAAGCTGAAGAAAAGTATCGCATCGAAAATTTCGGACCGGACTGGCTCTAATCAACATTTAAAACAATTTCCTATAATATAACATCCATTTATATTTTTTCTTCTTTCCTTTGCTTTAATATATTTTCCAAATGTTTTCTTCTAAGTGTAATTATCTTTTTTTAAGACCTATAGGACAAAATCGTGTCTAGTTTCGAATCTCATTGGTTGCGTCCTGAGAATTTTTCAATAGTCCTGTGGAACTTTAGGTTTTTTTTCTGGTTCTTTCAGATATATCTATCACTGTCGTTTAGAAAACAATAGATGGAAATTGTTAAAGTACCAGCTTATATTTCTGACGAGGAGATAAATACAAATGAAACTGTAAGTAATTGAAACAAGAAAAGAGATAAGAAAATTAGATACAAATTTTTCTTGAGGAATAAAATACAAGTCATTCTGTTTTTTTCATACCTCGTTTATAATTCAATAATTTTCGTCGAAATTTAGCACGTTCAAGTAATGCATGATTACTACGATAATCTGTTCGAGCACAACCACTTAAATTTTCTACAACTACAGTTGATAAACTTTCCATATCACCTTAAACAAATAAAAAAAAAAAGGGTATCTATAAAACAAAATACGAATTCGAAAAAAAACCACATACGACTAATTGTAATTATATTTTGACGTTTACGTGGTCGAATATTTTCTTCGGATTCAATATTAAGCCAATCAAGATCACCAAGTGGCATATCAGGCATCATTATCATATTAAAGAAATCAAATGGATCACTTAAAGGTGGGGGTGGCGGAGCTAAATTCAAAAAATTAATAGAACATAGAAAAGAAAAAGAAAAGATAAATACCAGAAACTAATGGTTGAGAATGGGATACTACAAGTGATGCTGTTGGCAAAGGTTCATCACCGGGTAATTTAACTACAAGAGGAGCTGATACTTCAACGGGATTAGTTGAAGTTGGTTCATCAATGTGAAGTTGTTGCTGTTGCTGTTGCTGTTGTTGTTGTTGTTGTTTGGATGGATATTGAACATAGGGAATATCTTCATCTAATTTAGAAAAATTTGGTTATTAATGAGTATAAAGGCCTTTACAAATTACAGATTCTCCGTCATAAAAATTAATGGATTTAGTTTCTTTTATAAAAAAAAAAAAAATAAGATCGTTTTAACTCATTATGAGGTAACTGAATCTGTGTGGTATCGAATTCTTCTAACTTAAAAACAAGATATATTATTTTTTAATGAAAATAGGAAAGATTTTAATATGCTTTTCGGACATTGAAATTTTGAATAAAAATGAACTGATGTTCTTTTCAAAATCTGACTTCTTTATTTGAAACCGCCGAGTTTTTTACTTATCTATTTTTCTCATTGTTTAATTACTGATTTATGGTATATGTATATTATTTAAGCACTGAAAGTGGAAATAAAGCTCGCTGATGAGAAAAGTCCCACAACTGACTAAATTGTCTTTGTCTTGGAAATATATGCATCATGGGGATCCTAACAAGCTATGAAAGCCTTGAGAGACATTTGGACCGTTATCGTATTGGTCTGAAGATATCGCACTTTTACAGTATTTTTTGTCAGTAATGTAGTTTCTCTCAGGAAGGTCAAAAAAACTAATTTTCGAATTTCACCCATACAATAGCGGTCCAAACTTTCTCAGAGCTTTATTAGCTTATTGGGATACATATAAGGTACATAGCCTTGACTAAAGATGTGCGAGATCAAGTTTTTTTGGTTCCGGTTTCGGCCTAAAGGAAACTATTCTATAATTTGTTCGTATCACATCTAAAATAATCCTTCAATACTCGCTTTTTTTATTTATTTAGTCGATGACCAGTACTGTTTTAGGTCATTTCTCTTGAATTATATTCCAATTCATATGATTTATAATATAATTTGCCTAAAATAATAAAATGTTTTACTATCAACTTGAGTTCTGACTCGGCACATTTTTTTTCTCGTAGCGTCGATGCCCGACACTTCGACTCGGAAACGATTCATTAATTCAGAGATTTTTCTCGTCCGGAGAAAGATGTTGATTATAAGCGAAGAGTAACACATTTCGATAAGAGATGAGCGGAATAAAAAAATTTGTTTCACACCGGAACTAAACATTATAGTTAAATATTCTATGTTTTTAAGCAAATTATCCATTGAAGAGAGACGATACAAATAAGTACTAGTTGCCGAGTAATTAAATAATAAAAAAACGATTATTGAAGAATTGTTTCAGATATTATACGAATACATTCTGTAATAGTTTTATCTCGATCAGAATGCGAAGAAAAAAAAATCGCCGAGTAATTCAAATCTCATCATCTATCCAATGATTTCTTTTTGTGTTAGAAATCATCATTATAAATAAATTTTTACCTTTTTCTTGTTTATAATCATGTACTTTCGTTAAATGTTGTTTCATGCTTGCTTTATTTGAAGTTGTATATTGACAATTTTGTAGTACACAAACATAGATAGTTGATGATTGTTGCTTTTCATTTCGATGTCGTTTAAGATGTGCATGATATGTTGATCGTACACGAAATTTTTCTTCGCAATCTTTTTGAATACAACAAAAAAATTTTTTTTTTTTTCTATTAAATAAAGAAAAATTCGATTATGTTATACTTACCAACATATGGACATTTCATAATCATATTTGGAAAATGTTTTGCTCGATGATTTTTTAATGAATCATTTCTTGTAAATGTTTTACCACAATTTGGAAATGTACATGTAAATGAATGACTTCCACGTAAATGTACAGTACGTACATGACGATCAAGATTTGATTGAGTATAAAATGTATCTTTACATGCCTTTTGAGAAAGAAAAACAAAAGCCAGTACGATGAGATAATTCATATAATAATAATAAAAGATTTAGTTACATACTGGATAAGTACATGCAAAATGTTTATCACCCAAATGAGTTAACATATGTTTTTTATAGAGTAAACGTTTGGGAAATTCTTGATGACAAATCTGACATGTATTTGATGAGACTGTTAAAGGCTTCGATTTTATTGATACAGGTGGTGGAGATACTAATCGAACACGAACCCTTAAATAAAAATAATAATAATGATATTAGTTATTCAAATTGATTTTTTAATATGCTATTGCTTCTTTTTTTATCCAAGTAATTTATACGATTGTATGAATTTCATTGAAATACTTTAAAATATAAAGATGATTGATATATTTGAATATCCTTTAATCTACCGAAACTGTTGTTTCCTCGAATCCTATTTCTATTTTGTTTCTTAACACATAAAACGAAACTGGTATTAATGAAGGAAATATTCCCAACTGATTACTCACTTTTTAGTCTAAACTATGCGAATCATATTGATTCAAATGAGTTTTGAATATGCTGAAAAGAGTTTTGAGAGCTTAGCTTTTTACTGCGGAGATACTGAAAATTTACAGTAATTTTTAAATGAATGCAGTGGTAATAGAAAAAAACTGATTTTCCAATTCTGACTTCAAACTTTGCATAGAAACAGATCTTAATCAGAGTGCCTACTTTTACTGTAAAGGTATCTTAAGATACGAACAGTGACCAGGAACTATTCTTGTTAAGGACTGTTTCCATGCAAAGTATCAAGTCAAAAATCAGTATTCCTGAATGAGACTACGGCATTCATTTGAAATATACCGTAAATTTGCAGTAAATCAGCATTAATAGATTATGGACATAAATTGTTTTCAGGATATTCATAGCTCATTGGGTTCTACATAATCCACGTAGTCTAGATTCACAAGTGATTAAACAGTAAAAGGATTTTCCTCGTAAAGCTTCAATAATTTGTACATTAACTGCTAATCCTTTCTTTTCTTTATATAGATTGTATATAACTAAAGTAAAGAAGTTGAATTGTGTGTTATAAACTTCTTTTATAACTGTGACATAGGATTTTCTACAGTAATACTTCATTGATGACATTTGCTTATNTCAATCGGAGACGACCGACCGAACCGATTTCAACTTTGCCACATACACATCCGTGATCACGAATTAATAGACATGATTCAAATATTGTTTAAATACAGATCTAAAGTCGAGATAACAATAAGTTCTGTGGATGATTTTTCAGTACAGTGCTCGTTGATAGAAAATATCCTATAATCTCGCATACATTGTACTGAAAGATAACTTTATCAGAACATATCGAAATTATGAAAGGTAATATTCAAGTATTCATTAAAAGTGCATGGATTCATGATTAGGTATTATTTTAATGTAGATTTGCTCTACAATTCTTAAATATGCGTGAAATATATGGTGGATCGTACATATGTCCATGGAAAGTGTCAGTGGTATTTTCTTTTTAGATTTCTTCACGTCACCATGTTTTCAATAATGTACTAAGGCAATATGCGATACTTTGCTAAGACAATTTCAAGACAAGAAGAATATCGGTGATAATCGAATATATAAATATAAATTAATATTGAAGTCATTTGAAATATATTAGTCGATGTAGATTATCATGTTGCACTCAATTCTTGACCGAAAAAGTTCACACATTAACTATCATAAGTGACATAATAGAGAATATGTGTTAGAAATGATAACCACACAAATGTTCACCATTCGGATTAAAATGAACGTTTTTTTTTCTAGGCAGTGAGACATATGGTTACAATCGATGTTATACTTACATTTACTAAAGTAGATATATTCGTGACATATAGTAACTATTGAGCATGTTTGATTCGTTCTCTTTAACTCTAAAACCAAATTGAGATTTGGCAACTTCATCGCGCGTGTACACCATATCTCGACAGAGGAATATAAGTTGCCTCAATAGTATGTATCTTTTTTTGGATACCACACATTAAACTGCATCCACTACTATATAAACTAGAATTCTGTTGTATCAATATTTCCTTCTGATCATAAATGTGGCAATCATGGTCAATTTACTGTCTCCGATGTGATGAAAAATTTCACTCAGCAAAACTTATTGCCCTGTTCTTCGATGAATTTGATCTCACTTTAGATATGATGCAGTTCTTCACTCGATTCTTGTCGATAATATGAATTTTTAGTTGATTAAATCAAGTTTCTATGTTTTATACACATTTCAAGAATTTGATAACGAAGTGATCAAGAAAAAGAAAATGAACGATGTTTCTATAAAAAGAAAGCATCTCTTAAAAAGAAGACCTTAGATGCTTTATTATGATAGAATTTTGATTTTGTTGAGATCACCGTAAGTAAATGACAGGAACTATTTTTTATTTGGAAGTTTGATATCAATAGATAAAAGAGAAGCAGATTTAATGTCCACAATCAGTTCATATGATTGACCTTTCTAACCAATAATTCCGACTGAAATACATGTATCTCCAGGTCGTGGTATTGCATAAACAGCACCAGCCGAACCACAACGGTATCCTTGACAACATTTTAAGGTGGTATTATAGCACGAGTTTCTGGCATGAATACATTTATCAGCAACTGCTAAAGTCAGAATGATGCTGATCATACATATTATAAAAATCATTCTAGAATTCATCCTAAAACAAATTACACATTTAGCTGTTTCTCTTCAATGTTTACATATAACACGATGTATTACTTACGTATTGATACGATTGCAACGTGAGGAAAGTTGTATCTCTCTGATCGATATAAAATGAGAAAAAAGGAAGATGCATATCCTATTGATATTGTGTATTAATCTATCAATACGTCTATATTTGCTACGTTCTCGTACAAACGAATGAAGACAAGAACAAAAGAATCCATGTTGTTGCTCACTTCATAATTTTTATGAGTCACCACCATCTATCATTAAAAGAACATTATTTTATTTCATTAGTCAACTATTAGTGCGCAGAAACAACGAAAACAGTGGGAACATATCGAGTTTTTAAAGCTGATTTTTTTATGAGACAGACTCCTATCATTAAATGATACTTGTTTCTTGAGTGAGAAGTCGTTAGTTAACTAGAATCGAAATATTAGATCGCGATATGTGTATCAAACTATTGTTCAGATAGTGAAAGTTTTGAAAATATTTTCTGTTGTACCCTTCAACAACAAATTCATACATTGGAAAAGTGTCCCTGACAACTCGATTTCTGTCCACTGCATTTGTTCTGTCTCTGCAGTAATGAGAGAAAAAATAATGTATCTATTTTTTCTAACACATCTCAGACAGTTCTTACAGTCGTTATAGATGATCGTTCACGTTTATATCCGATGAGACCTACTGTTCTATCATTTTGTTAATGACCAAGGCTTTTAGACGTAGATAATCATATGTTTCTCTTTTTATTGATGATCGCTGATACGAAAAATAGACACATATACATGTAGCTGAAAACGATCTCTCAATTTCTTCTGGATAGGACAGACCTAACTACATCCAATGCTACATAAACTAGAATTCTGTTGAATCAATGTTTTATTTGGATCAAAAGTATGACAATAGTGATCACTTTTTATCGTCTCCAATGCGACAAAGTATTTCACTCAACAAAGTCCATTGCTCTGTTATTTGATAAATTTAATGTTAATCTAGATATTTGTTTTTGAAACAATAAAGCAGATATTCAGGTGCATATGTTTAGCGACAAAAATACAAAACACATTGATAGGAATTGTTTCTTTTTTTCGGAAGTTTGATATCAATAAATTTTAGAAAAAATAGATTTAACGTCCACAATCAGTTCAAATGTTTGACATTTCTAACCAACAGCTAGGTTCGAAACGCATATATCTCCTGGTTGTGGTGTTACGTGAACAACAATTCCGCCTCCACCACAATGGAATTCTTTACAACATTTCATCGTTGTATTATAACATGGTTCCCCTTGTGTAAGACATTTAGTAGCAGCTGCTAAAGCCAGAATCATACTGATCATCCATATTATGAAAATCACTCTGGAATTCATTCTAAAGCGGATAAAAACATCAACTGTTTCTCTTCAATGTTTACATATAATACGATGCATTACTCACGTATTGATCGAATATCAAAGTGAGGTAAATTGCGTCTCAGTTTAATCACCATAAAATAGAAAAGAAGATGCGTGCATCCTATTTATATTGCGTATTCACATATTAAAAAATAAGTATTCACTACGCTTTCACACGAGAGAATAATCGACGAGAACAAAAGAAGCAATGTTTTTTCTTGTTTGCTTAATTTTTTTATGAATCATCGCTATCTGTTATCAAAAAAGCTATTATTTTACTCCATTAGTCAAGTACTAATGCGCAGACACAGTAGAAATATATCAAGCTTTCACAACCAATTTTCTTGAGAGATAAATCTCTATTATAAAATTATACTTGTTTCTAGAGTGAGAAGTCGTTGATCAGCTATAAATGAAATGTAGATTTTGATATATTTATTAATCTATTGCTCAGATAGTGAAAATTTTGAAAATATTTTTTGCCATACAACTCAGCTAGAAATTCTTGCATTCGAAAAGTGCCTCTGACAACTGGATTTTTGTCCACTACATTTGTTTTGTCTGTGCAATAATGAGAGAAAAAATAGTTTATATTGATACATAAATGAACTACCATTTAATACTTTTGATACAAACGCATACATAAAAAGACGATAAAAAACAATGTATTTTTTTTCATTTTGTTGATGACCACGGTTGTTAGGCGTACGCAATCCTTTGTTTTTCTCTTGCTTGATGATTGCTGATATGAAAAATAAACACATTTATAGGTAGGTCAAAATTGTCTTGTCATTTTCTTCGTATTCTGAGCATAAACAACTTAATTATGGAGGAAAAATATTTTTTTCCTATTGAATACGATGAATTCTGTCAACTTATTTATAAACCAGATGATCACTTTAGCTTTAAATTTTCTAAATTTTCTGTATGTCAATGGAAAATTGTCGTTATCATATTCTCTATTATTGGTATGCATATCGATTATATGAAGACATGTTTGCTACATTTTTTCAGTTTACTCAATGGACCGACTTGGTAGATTTTGCAAAATCAAATAATTTTGAAAATGAGAATATTCTAGACGAATAAAATCGTTATCTACAAGATCGAAAGATAAAGTTCATTCTTGAATGTTTTTTATGATGACGAGGCTTTTGCTGGATGCCTATCTCTGCTTAAATAGATATCAAGATAAGTAAAAATGTTGAAATAGATATTTATATTTATAGAAACAGGCGCCAGAATAGTCTGCACTCATTAATTGTTTTTCACACTGTTCTTCAGGTAACAAGCTCGACAAGAGAAATAATCTAATACTCGACATGTCATCAAATCGAAATTCGCAAAACTGGCAACGAGGTGTTAACGAATATGGTAATCGGTATGATCACCGAGGGGAAGGAGCTGCTCAAGGAGGTATATTGAATCAAAGGACTTTACGAAGAGAATTTTGACGCGTTATAGTCGAAAAATTCATGAATGTCTAACTAATAAAACATATATAATTGCTTTCACGATTTGTATGTATAATTCTTTTAAGGTTCGTATCATTACAGCAACCGTGATGGTTCTTATTACTATCAGAATAGTAATGGATCAACTTTCTACCAGGCATTTGATGGTTACCGAAATTATACTGCACCGTACAACAATTCACGATACGGTCGATAGTAATCGAACAATGAAACGTTAGAAGCACAATAATGGTTCGCATTTCGTCAGTAAAACTCACTTTTCTTTTTCTGACTTGTAGTTTTTTGAAATATTATGAAAAATAAATAAATCGATATATTCGAAGAAAATATTAACTGAAAGTCGATTTGACTGTCCAGAGTTTCATGCATTCTTCACTGATTGATCTCCTAACATTTAGCTGAAAACAAATAGAAAATAAAGGACCTGATCGGTATTGGCAATCTATCTTGAATTCGAAATACCATGTAGATGGTTTCGTAGAACGACTTATGGCGCATCGAATGATACATACAAAGTCACGTTTTCATCAAACTATGATGTGCCGAGAATCCATATACTGGTTATAATCCTTGAGGAATGTATATGGTTCTCATACACATTATTGTCCCTAAAATGTCTTAGGATACACTTAATTCGATATAGTTGCACGTGCTCTTCAATTTTGCCTGCGACATATGTTTAGATAGGCGAAGATATTTTACCGCTTCACTACCTAATTATGAATTTGATGTATATTGGTTCCGAGCTATTTTTATTACCCGGGTTGAAAGTCGCATTTCAGTGATAATGCCTAATATACATTTCATGCTTTCATAAAAAAACTTTTACGCTATCAGAAGAATGATGAAAAATGTTTTTCGTGGTTGCGTGTTAACGAATGATACCAATTTGCCTATTCTCAGGAGTAAGGTTAACTGTCTGAAGAAATAAACATTAAGAATAAAAAGGATTATTTCTTACGACATGATCCCGTCACGAATGGATTGGTCGAAATTATCTTATTTCTGTTTTATTTTGACAGTCCAAGAAGTTATTGACAAGCTAGAAATGAACGGCTGAAAAAAGGCAGTTGAATGGTTATTCTATTGAAAAATGTAGAGTTTAAGCGTATTTTTCTACATTGAGAACTGATTTGCAAGATTTACAGTTTTCAAATATTCTCAGTTGATTTGAGAAGGAAATAGAATTAACTCAGTAAAATTATAGAGTGAATTAGTTCAGTAACATTGATAATTCAACTTTGAAGTATTCGAATAATTTCCTCAATGTTGTTATTTATTAATTTCAACAAGTAGTATTATAATTAATAGAATTATCTGGTCTTTTTATAAGTACGTAGGAAAAAATTGATATTTTTATAAAAGGGGCTTGTCTATCGAAGTTATAGATTAAGTATCCTTTTGCATAACATTTTTACATTATGTCTCTTATTAAAGATATAAATTCCAATGTAAAAAAATTTTCGCTTTGAAAAATAATCAATAGCTTCTTTTACTTTACTATAATACTTGAAACTATAAGTGAAAAGAACTTTGTTTACATTTATATCACAGAGAGATTTTCAGTCAAAATTGCTCCGCCGGATTCAAGACCGTTCGCTATTAGGAGGTGTACGCTCGTAGAGGTTTTACTGTATATATTCCTGATCTGAAGTCATCTGTAATAAACAGATTCCATAAAGCACAATTTAGACTCAGTTCATAGTAACCTTACTTATGAAATATTATACGTGCTACTATAAACTCGCCTGAGACTTTTCTCATAGAAAATCTCGCGTGACAGATTGATACTATTTTTTCTTTTTCTTATGAATCAAATGTTTTCTGACGGTAATATTTACAATAGGGGTTGACTACAATATATGTATAAAATGATCAAAACTTCATCTGAAAGTTATAGGCCAAGCAAAATGAACAATTTCGCATGATAATGAAATTTTCAAGTTTTCTTTGGTAGTTTTTAGATAAGATGTTCAATCTCCGAAACATTTTTTTAAACGTCAATCAGTCTTATATTCGAACAGTGCAGATTGTTTGCTGTAATTTAATTAACTTCCAAAATTTAAACGAGAAAATAAGAAATCGGTTGAACGATATGTTTTACCTTGTAGGTAGCAGTAAAAAATTTTTGTTTACACCTTAACTGCTCACGAAGAAACTTTTTCAACTGGTCCATTACTTTCTCACTAAAAGCTACTGAATTGTTGGCTATCGAAAATATTGAACTTTTATATATTACAATGAAGCAAAATAAAGATGTTCCACTTAAATCATATAATGATTTATTTTACATAGAATAGAATCAGGAAAGATCTGATGTATATGTTTTTTTATGTGTACAAGTTAAGAAAACAAAAGTTAATTGAGTTTTATGGCGGCTACTCGTTGATGCAAAGTGGCTTCATTTACTCCGCCAGATTCTATTGGATGAATACGAGCTGGATTATTCCATGAACTAATTTTACGTGCTGCACTTGAATTACGATGTCTGGATAGATCATTTTCATTTTCGTTATCAACTATTGTACGACTTGTATTTATTATTACATTAGAAGTATTGATTGATGATGATGATGTCGATGAACGATTATTATTATTAGTATCGAATGTTTTATCTATTTGATTAATATCTTCATCATCTTTGTCAATAATACCAAGTTTTGTACCAATCCAACGAAATTTTGCTACTATTTCTTCTTGCATTAAGTCAAAACACATTGCTAAAATAGCCATGCCAAAAAGAGCATATATAGCTCCAAGAAGAAGTTTTGCACTTGAATTTGCATCATCCTTTCGTTGACCAGGAACCTAAATTAATATTTTCTTTTTGTTATTTAAAAACAAACAAGAAACGAAAAAGTGTCCCGCCTACTCACAAAATCACCAAATCCAATTGTTGCTAAAAAAGACAAATTTCACTTTTTCATTTTTTGTTTGTATATAACTCAAAAATTTTCTTACCCAATGTAATAAAACAAAAATATCCCGCTTGTGTCATCGACCAACCTTCAAAACTATGAAATAAAGCAGAACCAATCCATATATATGCTGCAATAATAATCATGGTAACTGTTAATGGTACAGCAACACGGTGATATTTTCGTTTTTCTTCTTCATTTAATTCATCATCAATTATTAATGTATTTGATAGTTTTTTTAATGAATTTTTCTTATTTTTATCATCTAATGTTCCATCATTAGAATGTATACTATCTGTACCTATTCCACTTTCTTCTTCAAGCTTAATCGTATTTGCTAATCTACGACGATTTCTTACAAACAAACATGGTGCACATAAGACTTTAGCATAAAGAAAACGAAACATTTCACCAAGTACACCACTTATATTTGCTAGACATAAAAGAAATATTGGTATACCTATTGTCGCATAACATATACATCCTAATTGCCCTTCCCCTAGGATATTTCGAGATAAAAATTTTTAAAATTTAAATTTCTTTCAGACTTACATGTCGTTGGTCTAGAAAAGAAAATATTTTTCTTTTATATATTCTCAGAAAATCTTCAACTTACGTTATATTTCCATAACCAATAGTTGTTATAATTGTAATTGCAAAAAGTAATGAATTAGCATATGTCCATTGACGGACACGTCCACAATCACTAATATAATATTGATATTTTTGATTTCCACGAATAATAAATTTTCGATATTCATATAACATAGAGCCAATTTTCGCAAATGCAATGGTAGAATTATCTTTTTCAACTGTAGAAAAAACTATTGATGATGTAGTATTTTTTTGTATATAATTAACAAGTTTTTGTTTTAGCTTATTTATTTCGGCAATTTGTTCACTTTGTGCTTCTTGACAATTGAGTTTTTCTTGACGTTCTTCAAGTAATTGAAATAAAAATCCACCAGCTACAGCATAAACAACAACAAGACCAACTAAACCAATATGTGAAAATAAAAATTGTGTTGTTTTTCTTAAACATTGTCGTGGTTTTGATGTTTCTAATTCAGTAAGTTCATGTTGACGTTGATGATTCACATAACGATGATTATTATCATATGACAATATGTCATCTGTACGAACAGCACCAAAACCCATGGATGCATCATGATATGCTAACATATTTTCTTATTTTTTTAAAAATATGCGTCAATTGAAATGTCGATAAAAGAAAATAAGTTGTTTTTTTCCACACTTTTATATAAATGGTCTCTAAGGTCTACATTTTCTTCTTTGCTTTTTTGTCTCGTTCGACTACATTTCTAATTTTCTTGTCTCAGAAAAAAATTTGATTTGAATAGAAATAGTTCTTCTCACTAGAGACCTGACGTTTTTCTCATTTTCTTTGCTTTTTATGTTACGCATTAAACACTTCACATAACTTAAATGATATGCCATGCAACAATGAATTTTGTCAGTTCTTTTTATTCAATTTATGAAAGAAATCGTGAAGAAAAAAACTGTAAATGAAAAAAAAAAAAAGTGTCATTAAATATAAATAGCATATCGTTTGTACGATGGCTAATAATACAATTTATTTAGAACGTTGCTTATATATTTGAGCAATGGTAAATAAAAAAACTATTCAAGAAGTTTACGTAACCATAGAGTTCTTTTTGTTTTCTTTAAATAAAAATAATTATTAGTTAAATAGAGAATTTTAAGATACGTAACATGATTTTTATACAATGGAAGCCAATAAGAACAGTGAATCATAGATTTTAATTCTTGGCTTTGACATAAGAATTAGTTTGTGCCAGTCAACATCCATTTGTATTCAAACATCATTCGTATAATCTCTTTCCTGATATTTGGTGCTGTGACTGGTTATTTGTCGATAATAAAAATTCTGTCCGCTAAAATAAGAGTCCCTAAATATACCAGGTTTTTAGAATTTTTGAGTAATGTAGTTTGATCTATGGGCGATCCAAGCATGCCGTTATATAGGACTCACAGAGTCCTACTAGAAAGAAGACTAAAAGCTCTGCAGTATGTTCCTTATATACGAAATTTGCATTACATTTTCTTTTTTTCTTTTCATGTCGTTTTTTCGAATGTTCAATTTTATAATTATGTTATTTCGTTATGAGACACTCTCAAGCAGCTTCTTTTTGTCTGAACCACTTGGACGGACACACATCTTCTTTTGGGGGCGGAGAGGACATTTGTTACAAGCCTTGCCTTTCACGTATAATTTTTTTTTGTTCTATTGTAGTTTATACTCCTTTCCTCTCATTCTGCGTATTTTTTTTTAATAGTTGATATCCTCTATTATACTCCTTGCTGTTGTGATCAGATCAGTTTTTTTCCTTTGCTCGTGTGATATCAAATAATCCAGTCGTCCACTGCTCTTAATATATTCATATACACCATTTATTTTTATACAAGGACTACAGTGAAGTTACGTCGTATTCTTCGCTTTGCATTTTTCTCTCTTGTTTCTTCTCTTTCTTTGGTAATACGCTCTTCTTGGCTTGTTAATATTTAAAGATTTCAAAATCCATTCTTATTCATACATCGATAATATAGCAATGCTCTACCCGGTTCAACGCGAAAACTTATAAATGCATGTATATGCTGAACATTGTTAGAAAGTCGTCGTCATTTGCAAAGTACTTTTCCTGCTGTCGTATCTTATGTATGTAGATGCGAGGTATTTCAAATATTTCCAATTGTTGCACGCAATAAACTTATGTATCTGTGCAAATTTTACTAGAGTCTTACTAAATTTTGCATGCTACTGTAAAAAAAAATCCTATTTGCGAAAACTATTACCAAAGTGATTCTGCGTCAATATGAAAATTTCTAATATTTTGTAGCGTCCTCTATATTAACACTTTATTGACTCAGCAATCTTGTACAATTTTTCAAATTTGCTTATACTTATTAGTATTCATGCTTGCAAGTGCCTAGTATTTATTAGATGATCATTACATCCTTCAGTTTTTATTGAACTTCTAATGTAAGTAAATGGTCGATTGGTGAAGCACTTCACCTTATAAAGCAAGGTAGGTATGTACACACATTTTGTAAGCTTTCGCGTTTGACTGGGCAAAAGCATTGTAATATACGCAAGTATAGCAAGAAAAGTAATACTTATGCAAAGATACATTTCTTTTCCATGCGGATCCAAAGACAGTTTTGATTTTTTAGGTTCTTTTGAAGATCTTCTATAGCTAATGAGAGCATAATAAGATCAACCGAATGCCATCTCGAAAGACTTAGATGTTCTTAATCTCAAAACAATAAAATTTCAATGTTTTAGTTCTGTATACTAATATACTTTTCTCATATTGCAGTCACTATTGAACCTAACCCTGTAGATGTTAAACAAAAACAAAACAATTAGATGTATCGAATATTTTTGGCGAAGGAAATATTTTGTGTTTAGAGCATCTTAATTGTTATTAATTTTTACTTTAATATATAACGATGTTGGCTAATACAATGTCTTTTCCCATGTGATTTCAATTATATTTTGTCTATAAACGTAACATAGTATTCTACTAAAAAATTCTGAAATGATTTAAAATTCTATTGAGGTTTAGCGAAATTATGGAATTTTTAGTATAGATATTTCCAAGAGATTCCAGACTTTATAGCTGAAATAGTTGCATGACAATATTGGGGAAAAAAACAATTTTTCTGAAAACTTGAGATCTGAAAAGAATCATTTCGATATTGACATTTTGAAATTCTATAACCTAACCAAATTCCAATAGGAACATCAATCCTATTAGAGTTTTTTATTTGAATAACTGTGTGACATTGATAGGCAAAAAAAAAATCCGTGAATTCAAAAGAAGATATCTTGGAAAATTTCCTGTTTGACTTGATTTTCTTTTGTATTGTCAATAAAAATTCTACTTTGTTAAATTTCGCTTATTCAAAATCTTGTCGAAAATATTATTTAAGACACAAATTAATTATAACTACCTCTATGTCTTTTTATATTTTTTAACAAAAAGTGATTAAAATCAATTAGTAAGATTTTTGAAAATTTCATTTAATTTTATTTGACGAAGCATATTTTATGAATTATACCGAAGAAGAGAAGTGTGAACTCTCTATATCAATATAGTTACTACAAAGAATAATTTTTGATTATTTCTCACGTAAGTAAAATTCAATTATTGATTTCTTTTTGTGAGAATCAGAGAAAAGAAATTTCCAAACAAAACACAACTATTGTAATTCTCTGTGCTATTCGCTCCGATGGTTTCTCATCTAATCCGTATAAGCATAATCGGTTCTTTTCTTTTGTTACAAATCTATTGTGTAATAATCTTATACATTACAAACAGATTTAAGCAGATGTGACGATGAACACTTGTTATAATTACATAATATCAAAACATAGATTAAGAGAATGAGAATAATAAAACGTTTTAGATCAAGTTATTGACTTTGTAAACAAGAACTGTAAAATTTTTCATTCGATCATACAGGTAAATTTCTTTAAGCCGATTCTATAAGACTGAAATAGTCAACAAGAGATTTTTCTATCGAAATCATGATCATTTTTGAATAATGAGACAAAAAAAAAACTATTGTGTCGGTTGAAACATTTTGACATTATGAACAGAATGAATTCAAAATTTTATTAAGATGATTACACTTTTTCATTGAATAATCATTGATTGAATACTTTTAAATTTATTGTGACTTATCAAATGATCTTTGAACAATGAAATTTTTCTCACGTTCATAACTTATGATTTTTCTACCCATACATTTGCTTTAATCCAAATAAAGGCGCCCTCATTCGTCACCAAGCGACATGTACACATTATTGGTTCATTCATCTCGTATCCTGCTTCTACCCTTATAGTCATTTCCCATTCTTTCTAACCCATTCTTTTCTGCATAGTATACATATTTTTGTGCATTTAACAAAACACTTCATGAGTCTAACTCGACAACAACAAAAACTACGACGATTATATATATTTGCTTAAGTTTTGTTGATTGTACTTATGCTTTTTTTGTATTGTAAAGCATACATATTTTTATTTCTTTTTCTTTTCCTTTATTTAACGTTTGCCTATCGAATACAATCATACCCGGTGGGATTACTTAATAAGTGTTTTGTGTTTTGTTTTCAACTCCGTCATTTATATGGATACATATAGTGATGATTATATTTTAAAGACCATTTTTGAAGACTTAATATTCTTTTGATATTGATTGTCGTTTTTGTTTTTTCAATCTTCATCGAAAATGAAGCAGAGATACAAAAAAAAAGACTAAAATTAACAGGTTCGATGTACACTTCTAACGTTCGTCCTTGTCAGATATAGATAATTAATCAAAGTGAAAAATCATTTTTTTTTATAAATATATGAAAATATCTGTCATTTTAGAGGTTAACATGGATCACGACCACCACGATCATATGCACCATCATGCAGATATGGTTGTTACGACAACTACAATGATGAACCATGCTCATCATATGATGACACAACAAACAAATACAAGCTCAGTTCATAGTGGACATGGTTCTCGTGTTCATGATATGATGGCGATGGCAGTGAGTATGCAATTTTCAAAAATTTACATTAATTACGATGATTTGAATATAATCATAGATGGGACAATAATTCCTGCTGAGAGTATATTTTATTAAAAAGACATGAAAGAAGATGATTTGTGCTGCCTATTAAATAGATTATTTCTTTAGTCATTCAAATAAAAAAGAAAAAAAAAACTTTCTTGTAAGATTAATTAGATCAGCATAAAATGTTTAATCATATCTATTAAGATAGGTTTAGAGGCAAAAACTAGAGAAATCTATTTTCTAAAGTCCTAAACAATATAAATAGTTAAATTTTTAATTAATAACGTGGTTTGTTTACTTAATTTTCATTTTTTATACTAATCCAACAACAGAAGTATGTTAATTTTTTATCCTTGCGATACAAATAGATTCTGCATTTCGGAAGGAAGTCAGCACATTGTCAATATCGAAATGTTCACAATTATTTTAATAAAAGAAAAAACACCAAAGTATATTTGCTTTCAATCAGTCTTCTTTAGTCTCTAACAAAGGCCTTATTAATCTTCAATTGTAAAATTCGATTAGTCTTCTACCTTTGGCCAATATTTCTAATTGGTCGGTTTAGTATATAAAATTTGCAGTAACAAAAAATACGTATTTTATTTGTGTAAAGGTTGTTTTAGTATAAGAAAAATTACTTTGAATAAATAACAAGAAAGAAAATAAAAATTCAATCATGCTGCTGACAAAATAGACTCACGAGAAAATTTCTTCAGGTGTCCAGTTTTCTCTTTCAGTAGTTTTTTTGCCTAAAGATACTACATAGTGTTTTAATAAAAACTCGAAAAGGATTTGGATTCTATATCTTAAAAATTTCATATCTCGAAGAGACTTTGTTCGAAACCTGAGTTTTTTTTTGTAAGATCTATAGGAAAAAGTTCGACAACTTAGTCAAATATCAATAGGAACACAAATCATTTTAGTGTTTTCATTATAATTCTATGTAGTATCTATAGGCGAAAAAACTGTTGAAATCTGAAAGGATATTTGAAGAGGTTTCGTCGTTAAATCTTTGCTATTTGTGATGGTTAGGAATATTTTAAATGAATAATCATATCGACAACAAGTTTACCTGTTCAGATCAAACAGATACGATTGTTTACAACTGTACACGAAGAAAGAGAAACGCTCGTTTACAGTCTTCGTATTCATTCGCTTGAGTATATAGTTTCTACGAAAAAACCACAAACTACATAGTTGCACTTTGATATTTTTCAGTCTGGAGGTTTTATCAAATTCCGACCGAAGTTTTGGTAATCTTTTTATTTTCAAAATTTCTAAGAAAATTGAAGAAATTGTCAAAAATCAGGTAGAGAAATTCCTGTTTTTCTCTTGATATTTATTTAAATCGGCTGGTGTAATCAATTGTATATTCCCAGCCTGTATATAATATCTATTCTAAGAACCATTTAGAATAGAAACTATCTTTTTTTTCTGATTTAATTAGTGGCATGCATAACCAGGAAGTCGTAGGTGATACAGCAGTACCCTACGATCTTTGAAGTAATCCATGAAATATTTAGTGGCGGACATAAGTTTAGAGTATTTGGATTTTTACGTCTTCTTTGCGATGGTAATAGCTAGCAAGAATCTGAAAAGAAAATATTAGTTTTCTCTATCAGGATTGTAAGATCAAACGACTTCAACAAAGCTGGTCAAATGAGGATTGTCGGAAAAGCAAGATCCTCAAAAACTAGTTTCCACTCGAAGTTTTTGGGAAAAGGTTTTTTTTTAGATAGAGCGAAATGAGACATCTTTGATCTCTTCATCGAACTACATTCAATTCATGGAAGACTGCAGGGCATCAAACATAGCAAAAACATTGAAACTTTCAATAAAAAGGACGAGATGCAGTTCGATGAAGAGATATCTCATCTTACTCTATTTGAAAGTTTTGATACCTGCCAATCTTGATAGAGAATCTTTTCAGCTACACAAATGTTTCTTCGGACTCTCGCTAACTATTACTATCGAGACGCAAACTTACACATACAACTGTTCTTATTTGTTGCGGTCATAGGATAACGCGCAATCTAGTTCGTTCTTGGTTTTGTCACTAGATCGAACCTCAAGTCCATAATTCTAGAGATATTGTTGAGTTGTCAACAATCTTCATGAAGCATCATATTCTCTGAATATTCCATTATCTTTGATTATGTTGCTTTTTTTTTTCTTTGATTGCTTTTAAGGTGTTATTTATACTTGGTGTACACAATTGTTTACTTGTGTATGAACTATCATTTTGATTTGAGATATTCATTATGAAAATAATTTTTTCTATTCGCCTTCGATAATTTCAATTTCTATACTCAGTATTTAGTTCGATTGACTATTGTTCAATTTTATTTATTGATTTTTATATTTAGTAACGAATTTAATTAATGAATAACTGATCATTTTATCTAATTTGCTAATTATTTAAATGATAGTTTTTCTGAAATAAGCAATCATGATTTGAAAATTTACAATGTCTAAGCCTGAAATAAAAAATGTTTCTTTTTCAATAGATGACATTCCATGGTGGTTTTAAAGAACAAATTTTATTTGAGCAATGGGATACAAAAACAATTGGTGGTAAATAATTAATATTTGTCTTTTGATTTCAAATAAAAAAAAAACGAAACTTCTTTTGTTTTAAGCATTTATTGGATCTTGGTTTCTCATTTTTTTTGTTGCTGTACTCTATGAAGGATTAAAAACTATTCGAGATCAGTTATCAAAACGTGACGGATGTCAATGTGGTCAAACAGGTGAACGTCAACCATCACTGTAAGTTTATTTACAATAAATAATATGTATGTGCTCATGTAGTCAATCACTAATATGAAGTAGATTTTTTTTTTAAATAAAATTTGGTGATTGCTCTAATTGCTACTCTAGTTTGCATCATCAAGGTCAACAATGTGAAAATTCTAATAATAATGATTTAATACCAAGAGTTCAAACAGTAAAAGCTCGTACTAATAAACGGTAAGTTGTAGTTGAGTAACAAAAGTAGAATGTTAATGATTTATTGAACTCTATTAATGAATTTTGTTCTATATTTAGAGGTCGTTTATTGAGTCTTAACCATCTTGCTCAAACAATTTTACATATTCTTCAAATGGGTATTAGTTATTTATTAATGTTAATAGCTATGACATTTAATATTTATCTATTTCTGGCTATTATACTCGGCGCTGGTTTAGGTCATTTCTTATTTGCTTGGCGTCGTTCATCTGTTATTGATTATAATGAACATTGTCATTGAAACAAAACAACGAACAAGATCTTTTTGTTTTTTGCTGTTGTTATTGGTTTATATTTTATCATCGTTCTGATGTCGTGAAATTATTCTTTCAATGTTTTTTTCTTGAAACCATATAATTTTATCAAAAAAGAAGAGCAACAACAAAAAATCTTTTTTCCTTGAAATTTTTCTTTTTTTGATGTATGTTTCATCTTTATTAATTGTTGTTTAGCTATTGTAATACACATGTGTCTTTCTTTTTGGAGATATATGAAATATACTTTTGAAAAATAAGAACATATATTTGGAGATTATACAATGGTTGAAAAAAAGTTTTTTTTTTTTTTTTTTGTTCAAATTTTCTTTCACATTAAAGAATTTGCACTAGAATGACAACAAAATAGATCAATCCGTAGAGAATTTCATGTTCTGTCAGCTTCTTAGATTTTTTTTTCTGATGTCGATCTTTATCTTCACAACCTGATTTTATTGAGAATAGGCGAAATATATGGAAAATTGAAATCCTGCAAATTCTATCGTATATCGATCATGTCTCACAATAGCTAGATGCTATAAATGTGGAAAATGTTTTAGTTTAAAGAAAATTGAATTCTCCACAACTTTACTGTCAACAACAAATTTGAAAATGAATATGGAGTAGAGTATCATAGTCTGAAGGTGCCAAATGCTCGTCATTGCATTGGAAAAGAATTAATAAATATCTTCATATAAGTTTTTCTAGCGTGATTCAAACGACACACCAAAAAAATACAACAATGACAATGGCTGGGATACAAAATTATATTCTGAAACGAATTCCTACAGTAGCCTAAACAGGTTACAACAGCTCGGTGATGATCTATTTTTGAAGCCATTCCTTTTGAGCGAATATATTTCAACTCTGTTATCTGCAACTAAGTCAATGCAAATCGTAGAAAAGCAGTCATTTTGTTAAACATCAAATTTTGCATCTTCTAATATAATAACAATTACTTTTTGAATACAAAACTTGGAAAAAATCGTCAACATACGATATAACATTACCAGCTATAAATGCTTTTTTACTTTCTTCTCTATTTCAAAGCAATTAAAAGTGAACTTATAATGCATTAACATACAAGTGAAGAGTGGGGAAAATTCTATATGTTCTACATCTTGAAAACAGTTCCTTTTGAACAACTTTAAAAAAGAAAATAGCATTTTGAGTTTTTTTCACTTTTTCATGTGATGATCATACAAGGTTTTGTAGTTTCCGATGTTTTTTAATTATAATAAAAGAACAGTATACGATCATTTTTTGACCGACATATGAATGCGATGTAGATCATATTTTCTATTCTGCCATTCTAAAAGCAACTCGTCTGATTAAGTTTAACACAAGAAGAAATATTTTTCATATGGATGACATTTTCTCCGCTCAGTCCGTCCGTTATATTGAATTGTATGTCACTTTGAGAAAGCAAAAATTGTTGGTGATGAGAACAGTTTTGTGCAATATAATTGTATTAAATTAATTAATCTAAATTCGGTCTTTACACTTGAGATTTCGAACATATTGGTTGAGTAATTTCAGTTTCTTCAAAAATATTTCGACCAATGTACACGATTCTAGGATTTCATATACGATTGTTTGTCATGAAAGCGCATTTTTAATTGGACAATAAAAACAAAACGTTCTAATTGCACTTCCCAATTTGGTCTGTTTCTCTTCATATACTCATAGAGGTGTATATTTAGCTACACATCTATGCAAAAACGATACGATATAGTCATAAAAAGATCTGATTAGGTATTCATTTTTTAGTACTGGAAAATTTATTCTAAACTGAAATACAGCAATGCAGAACTATTCCGTATGTGAATAATGTGAAAAGCGTAATACTATGTGATCCTTCGTGTAAATGAATTTCGATTAATTAAAAAGTTCGCGCCTGACTGCATGAGAGACATATAAACAGCAAAAGTAGTGTTCCGGTGTACTTCTTTTTTGTTAATGTGAAATGATTTATTCACCTGATCAATTACATATATTCTCGAGGTTTCATTGCAATGTCCGCCAGAATGTTTTGTCTCACTGTATTCATTGTTGTTCTGATTTACTATTGTTAATACAATTCTGCGAATAATACGACAATAGTACTACCTTCAAGTATTATCTATGTGGATGGCACAGTAAAAGAACGAAGCACAATTGGAAATGTTGGTCCTAAATTTTATTATGCAAAACAAACAGACCGAGTTTTCGATTTCAAATTGGCTCTTCCCAATTTTGTCAAAGTACCGGAACTTTCTCTCGTCTTCCATTATAATACACCACGTTTGTAGAGAATTCGTTTGCAAAGAGAACATGGGTAGATATCATGATTGATGGAAAAATTCTTGTTTGCAAATCAACGTGAACTTGATGCTGCTGTAGGAAGTATATTTTGGGCTGATCAACAGGATATTATCTTTATCTACAGTGTATCTTCTCAAATAGTCACATCGTCTTCAAAATTTGAAACTGTCTATGTCACGGCAGGAATACATTCGACTGATGTTGTCATTTGTACAGAGGAAGGTGTTACGGTTGAAGATGATGAACTCTTTATTGAAATTATCGATTTGGAAGGAGATCAGTCAACAAACCTATCACTATTGAAAGATACATTTTAGTAATTACTCTTTGTTGCAACTTGTACCATTTTGATGAAGTCGCGCTCGTTTCCATGAATTATTAAAACAAAATTATCTAGCTGCTTTTCATTTAACATTCTCACAGTATTCATTTTTCTTTACTCTTCTATGTATCTCATAGATTTCAAAAGTATTTTTTCTTTTATTTCATACAGACTAAGACTATTGTTTCTCAGTGATTAGAAAACTAACTAATACCCATAATGTTGTAGGTATGACAGGAATCTTACATACTATTCATGTAATAAATTAATACGGTTACTGTCCGATGATCTTCTTTAAGAATACTTTTGTCAATGTATTCTGATGCACTATCTTATCTCATACTCATTGCTCTTGAACGTCTCTAATGATAAAGGACTCTTATCGATCACATGTAGACATGAAATGTCGCAATAATTTCGTTTTAACAGACTATCTAAGTAATTAAATCATCAATCAATATTATTTTCGAGAAACCACTTGTGAGGCTCCACTAGAATTCTCATAGCGATGCATTTAGTCACGTCTATTTTTTAATTTCGTTTTGCCTTCGATCAGCTGATCGATAGAAATGCAATTTCATCAATTTACCAAGACATAAAAAGTCTGATTCAAGTAAAACACAAATATCTTTCGAGAAAAATCATTTTACGATAAATCGAAGAGATAATCGTGCTGCACATCTTATTTCATATTCTCGACTATGCCGAGATGCTATCTAGTTACAATTAAGCATTGCTACTATTATATAAAAGTACTTTTATAATTAGTGCACCATTGCTTGAGACATCGAACTATTTTTCCTTAAAAGTAAAAATAAAAAAAAGTTCTATCATGTCCTGCCTTCTGACATGCTCTTTCAAATAAAAAAACACATCGAATTTATAGAATGAAGATCTTCCGAGAATTTCAGTTGCCAAGTGAGTTATTTTTTACTCTTACTTGTTGAATGTCTCTCAAAAATATTATGGTTTAGGGTTAAAAATTTTATCATGGTCGCAACTTATCCTGAGAATTTAACATAACTTGAATGTTCCTGAGCCAAGATCGATTTTTGAAGGGGGGGGGGGGGGGGGGGGGGGGGGTAATAGTT